CTGTAGTGATCCGCTGAGGGCTCCCAGGGAGGATCGGGTTGCCGGATGAGGATGTGGCCTGATGGAGCTCAGGGAGCTGGGGGGTCGGCCTGCGATCTGCGCTGCAGCACCCCTGATGGGCCTTCAGTGTGCTACTGTGCGCCTGTTCTGCTACCTTACTGTCTGCTACTGCTGTCAGCTCTGGTAACCTGAGCTCACCGGCCCTGACTCTGCACAGAGTGGGAGGCTTTGCATCCCCACACTGCAGTGGATTACTGTAGTGCGCAGTAAAGTGAATACTTCGGTATGTAATTGCGGTGATGTAGAGATAAATTCAATCATGTCCTAATGGAGCTATGGCCCCGTTTACATTATGGCGCAAGAGCAGGCGGTGTAATTGACACTTAATGTGCAGCTACACACAGTAACCTCCATCAAAATCATGTAGTCAACGCAATGCATGTGATGGTTATGTTCTTATTATCCTGTGCACACTTTAAAAAGAATGCACAGCTTTATCTTAACCATATTTATACTCTTGCATTTAATGAAACTGTCTTTGAAATTACACATTGTAGATACACATTACTTCCTGCAGAACACCTTTCTTTTTCATCCTATAGCCCCTGAGTCATATTTGTTTTTTTTAGCTGAAATTCTGTTTATGGGTCAGCATTATTCACAGGAATAGTTGTACTTAGGCTTGTTGTTGAGTAAGCGACGTCTGTTCAGGTTTCCCCTAAACTTATGGTTTCTCCGACACTGTGGACAAGCCATGCTTAATCACTATGGTTACGACTCCCCCTCCGAATGACTGCTCAAGAGAGGACTTGTTTACCATCTCTGCTCCAGACTCAATAACATGTCAGTCATCAGGGTTAGAACCTCCCCTGCCCACCTGCTATTGGTCCAGCAGATAGCTCCCAGTTTAACCCCCACCTTCCTCTTCCCAGACACTCTCCTCCATGGCGTCCCTCCCCTTGAGCCCCACTGTGAATAATGAATGATTTCCCAACTGTCTGCCACGCTTCCTACTTATCGTCAATGACGCAGGGAAAACATACTACGCTTTGATATGTTACAAAGAAGTATTTCTTTTGTTAGATCATTTTTTACGTTTCACTGGCTGACACCTATGATTGGTTTGGGTAAATTATACCAGTTTACCAAACTCTTTTTATTTTCGCACAATACTTCATCTTCAGAGGTGGCAGTGTCCTGCTGGCAGTAAAGTGTCCCCAGCCTCCCAATGTAAACAGTGTAGTAGTCCCTTACACAGCGTGCTCTCCAGCAAACGGGACATGACTTGCATTCACATGAGGAGCATTGCTGCACTGCAATCCTCTCCCTCTCAAGCACTAATGTCCTTATTCGATAAAGAAGTAATGCTTTTTGGAGAATCCAACTTTGAACCCCCTCACCCATCTTCCTACAACACACATACATATACACGTACACACCCCCACCCTTCTTTAGGCAGACAGACAGTGTTGAAATCTAGCCATCTTGTTATCAGATTGAAGCAGCTTTTCTTTTTTTTTGTCAATGGAGACTGTGGGGAAAGAGGAGGGGTAAGCCATGGTTGACGAGCTTTGGGTTCCTGAACCCCCCTTGCATGCTGTGCTTCAAGAAGGCAAGGCCATCCTGACGGAGGAATACATCTGATGCTTGCCGCCTCTTGCTCTGATGCAGTCCTATACCTTTTTTTTTGGGGTCCAGAACTGTTACTTACATCCTTGCATGTTATTTTTTTAAATCTTCAACTATATGTTCCTCTTTTCTTATCTCACTCTACACCTCTATAATCATGTTTGCTGCCAAATCTCAGGTTTCCGTAGAAAGTCCTTATGTTGTTATTGTGTCGTTGCAGCGGAACGAGAACAACATTCTCCCCCTTGATTCCCTTGCGGCCTGAAACATTCTGCAGATTCTTCACATAGTCTAGCGACTGGAGGATACCTTTTAGACCAAAAAAACAAACAGTGCACAGTACGGTGATGCCACTGCTGCTGTATTTAATGGCGGTTGTAAGGCAGCATGAGCGGCTCAGAAGGAGACTCCTCATTGCTGACTCGTGTTGCCTCGTTTACTATTGATGAAATGGACCTGGCCACTCCACGTGTCGCCGTGCTCTGGCGAACAGCAGGGGCAGGCTGGTGGTTGGCTTTGGTGTCTGACCTGACTGCTCAGGGAAAGAGAAGGAGGGAGGGGGGTGGTGTAACTGCAGTATGAGAGGAACAACATCGTAAACCTCCCTACCCCCACTTCCGGCAGTGTGACTAATTTGACTCTGCAGCCGCTGATTATTTTCAAAGTTTTTGTATCTACAGTTTGTTCTCTGCAACAGTTGCTTTATGTGATACAGTGTGTACTTAAAACAGGTCAAATCCCAGCCTGCTGATGCTTTTGATTTATTCCTGCTCATATCAAACATCCACTCAGGGGACTACAATAATAATAATAGGAGCCCCTTGTTATGTAGTCCCTTTCCTTTGAAGTAGTGGAAACCCACAATGCCCTGCATAGCTATGTGTTGAGAGCAGCAGGGTGGAAATAGCACCGCATTAGGAGCATCTATAAATGGAGGTGGTATCCTTGATACCACGGGTTGTTTGGTCACACAGTGAAACCGGGTTGACTTATATGGCTTTAAGGCAGCAGCTCCCCCTCCCTCCGCTTTCTTCTGGCAGAAGGTATGCATGTTTCAAATTTCACTTCATTGAGGAATCTCTTCAAAATGATGCTGAACGGAAGGGGACCTCCTCCAATGAGGCTCATCATAGTTTGCCTTGGCTGCCCCCTTTTGGTCGGATTCCAAGAAAATGAGCCCTCTTTGATGTTTCTCACTCTGCAAATGTGCAACACTGATGTCAACATCGTATGTCCTCTCAAATCACTGCCGTCATGTGACATCTTGTGTTTATTGGCGTTTGATGCTGTAGTTTTAAAGAAGAGCTTTGCTGTTTGTCTTGGACCACAGAGCCAGTCAACCCCTAGTGTGACAGAGCATGTACATAGTGTGAGTGCGTAGCTATACATAGCACAGGAAAGGCCAGATAGGTATATATACTCTTCTTCTTCTTACTCATTTCATTCTCATCAGGAGACAATTATTGGAGATTTCTGTGGTACTGCTTTGTATTGAACAATACAGATGTTGCATCAGGTTAACTGAATGAGATACGATTTTGTTAAAAAAATAGTTATTTTTTTTCAGACCATTTGAGTGTTTGAGTAACTGTCAGGGGTGGGAATGATCATTCCCCTTCCCTTGTGAAGCAAAAGTGGAGTTGGCACTTTGGGAGTATGAGTTTGCTCTGCAGCATTACTGTAGTGCACCATCACGTTCTTTATCTACAGATGTTTTTGTAAAGCAACATGAAATATTCATCAAGAGAGGATTAGCTCAGCAGCCGGCTTCATTTTCTCGACTGATTCGCAAAGCGAACCGCTGATGCTCCGACACCCGCATTGAATTGCAAAGCAAATAAACAAGTGGAGCTCCTTTTCCTCTCTGCTCTCTGGCACACACACACATATTCACATACTAACGTGTGCACACATGTCTCATTCTTCATTATGTGTACTCCTGTAAAAGTCTCTGTTTTGGGGGACGGCTGAAATAATGACTCTCATGGCAATAAAGTCATATGTGTAGTATCACACAATAACACACATAAAAGAGAGTGGTGAAATGTGTGTTTTAATGTACTTTTGTCTGAGCCTGTCTGACTGTGTGTGTGTGTGTGTGTGTGTCTGTGTGCGTGTGCGCACATTTCCTTCCAGCCCTGGCTTTGCACCAAGAGGCGGTTGCTAAGGAACCAGGACTTTGCTGCCTGCACAATTTCTAATATGCAAAAAAAGGCAGTTTTTTTTTTTTTTTTTAAATTATCATAGATTTCTTATTTGTTACACATTTCCCCGTAAGAAACCTGAAACTTTGACTCAGTCTCTCCCAGAGCCGCTCTTTATGCAGACAGAGAAACAATCATTAGCAGAAAGCCCCTTGTCAACAGTTATTTTGCAATCATTCACGCACATTCACATCCAGGTGCTCTTTCTATGGAGCGGACACATCTGAAACGAGGACATCCCTGCTTGCAGTTTCTCAAGATTAGTTAGCATTGGGAATCATCTGATTACTGCCCTTACATCTGCTTTTCCAGAAGTGCTACTTTGTAAATAGTTTACAGCATTGAAAGCAAACCTTCCATTTGACATTTTCATCTCATTTTTAATTGAAGTGTAAAACTGACCAGATTACCATGAGTGGTTTGTAAATCTACAAACAAGCACTGGCCTAATTGTTGTCCTTATTACCTGAATGAGTAACGTTCATCCTTTCTGTGTCAAAGTTTGGATTTTGAAAGACTTATCCTCTAGAGTTAAAGGATGATATATTAATGGTCATTTTGTAAGCTCTGTTCAATAAATCTGTCAAACTGTAATGATTCCCTCTCTGTCAAATGCCTGTCTCAAGCAATGGGAAACTGCTGCGTGTTATTGATAACATATTGTTGTGGGCTTTGGTTCCTCAGTGATGCTCAGTAAACAGTGAGGAGCTTCTATCATTCATTGTTGCTCAAGCTTAATTTAAAACACCCCACACAATAATTATTCTGTCGATTTTGTTTTCTTCTTTCTCACAGCCTGGAAGGATGTTCAGACTATTGTAGACTGCATTAGTTTTAGCTACATGTACCTAATAAACTGGCAACTGTATACTGTGCATATAAACACGTTTTGTGTGTGCACACACTGAGTCCCTACTCCTTTTGAACCTATTTATTTGCTTTCTGGCCTGTTACCATGCTGATAATAACAATAACAGATCTTTATCATCATCAATTCTTAAGTTATTCTACATTTTGTACTTGACATCTTTATCGCAATCTGTGCTTTAGTTTTGTACCTTTCTGAGCTTTACCATCCTTGACTTTGTTGTATTAGTGCCCAGCAGTGCAGACTGTTTACTCCCAATCAAAACTGACCTCTTCCCCATCTTTCTCTGTTTCCTCCAGTATGCCCCAAACACTGCAAGCTTTCCTGTACAGACCAGGGGGAGTGTTGTCACAGCCAGTGCCTGGGCAGCTGTACTGAACCGAACAACGACATGGCCTGCTCTGGCTGCCTCCACTACTACCACGAGGGTCACTGTGTGCCGAACTGCCCCCCAGACACTTACAAGTTTGAGGGCTGGCGCTGCATCACCATGGACCTGTGCTCCCAAGTGCACCTGCTTGGCGATATTCACTTTGTCATCCACGGGGGAGAGTGTATGCCCGACTGCCCCTCTGGCTTCACACGCAATGAGACAAATCGGTAAAGACATACCCTTCAATTCTAGTTAAGGTCCTGATGGTTTGGAAATGCCATGACGGTCGACACACTGAATGTACAACAAAATAGGAAGAGCTCCTTAAAACATTTTGCGTTTGATTTGTCAGGTATTCTTGAGTATTCTTGTTTAATGTTCCATATTTGAATTTGTACGGGATCATAACCTTAATTTATTCACAGAGAGAGCCAGAGGTCTTAATATTACTTCCTCACAAATGTTTCTGTGAAGCAGTGTGGTTTCTCTTCATTATTCACAGACACCAAAGGTGCTGGTGTGTTCACTGTGTACTTTTGCATAATTAATTCATTTGCATAAAAACTCCTTGAGCTAAGCTTCACCTGACTCTTCACAGGTTCCTTTCTTAAAGTAGGACTCAAAGCTGGAAGTGCTAAAGGTTAAGAGTATGTCGGACTATTAATGATTCAAGTGTAGACTTCCCAGACTGTTTAGAAAGAGTGAAAGGTGCTCAACATAGTGCCTTGTTTTCTACACTCACCACGAGTAGATTTGACAGATTAATACTTAAAGCTTTTAAGGAGAGTCCACTTGAAATATCCACTTGACATTTTCCTTTGTTTGACATTCACCTTAAACAACACAACTTCTTTGAATGCAACTTTCCTCCCTGTTTTGTCTCGTCAATTCCCAAACTTTCCATGCCGACTCTCTGCTGCTTTATTTTCTGGCCATATCACTGCTGTTTTATCTCTGAGGTCAATACAGTGAGTCACTCTCAAAAAGTTCAGATGAGGGCTCATAAAAGATTAAACTCTCCATGTGAGAGGTGACCTTGTATCAAGGAGTGAATTTAGTTGCCTGAATCATTTGGAATGCTTGGGAGACAGGGAGTGGACCAATGATTTCAGGGTGAGGTAGAAAAGTTCATGTAAGATTTTGTTCATTCTCTGACACGTCTCACTTTTTTTCCCATGTCTCTTTCTTCTCCTTCTCTCCTTCTCTCCTTCCCTGTGCTTCTGCTGTCAACAGTATGTTATGCAATGCCTGCAATGGCCCGTGTGATAAACCCTGCACATCGCCTGTCATCGACTCTGTGGATGCTGCTCAGTCCCTGAAGGACTGCACCGTCATCGAAGGCAACCTGAACATCAACATCCGCCGTGGAAGTGAGTGCAGCTACACAGAAGCACAGTGCTTTTAACGCCACATATTCTGTAATGTTGCAGTGTAACTGAGTGTAGTAGACTATGCTACGCTACACTAGCTAACATCACATTAAATATTTAGTTTGCCGTCAATCTGTCGTACAGTACGCTATAGAAATCCTTCACTGACTACATTACACTGACTTTACTACACTTTGTTGCACTTGACTGCCCAGCAAATGTTATGATTACAGAGACAGATAATGTTAAAGGCCTGGTGGTCTAAGCTGCTGGGCCACAAAATCAACATTACATCTGCTTCCTGCACTCTAACCCAATTATCACATTATGCTATCATGCTGTGTATTTGCTCAGTTGACAGGGCGGCTCACAATCTAATCTTTACATATGACAACACGTATACAACTTAACGTAGTGTTCATTAGGATATTTAGGTTAAGAGCTACTTTGGGTGGCATAGCAGCAGCAGCCGAGATCCCTGTGGAATTTTTTTACGTGGCTTTCATCGCTGTTTTGTATCTGTGTCTGTGCGTGTTCATCCCCTGTCCCCAGATAACTTAGCGTCTGAGCTGGAGAGCTTCATGGGATTGATTCAGAAAGTGACGGGCTATGTGAAGATTCGTCACTCCCACGCACTTGGCTCGCTGTCCTTCCTCAAGAGCCTGCGTTACATCAATGGGCAGGAACTCATCGACAAGTATGTCTGCGCTCTTTGTCTGCACTGTTTTGTCTGTGAATGTGTGCATGCTTGTCTGCGGTGACTGGGGGAATTAGAGGACATGAGCAGGCCGCAGCCCAGCAGGGAGGTTGCCACCAACATGTCATTGAAGTGACTTCTTGTTGAACGAGTGTCTGCCCTGGGTGGTGGATGTACATTAATGCACCTATAACAGTGTCTAGTATGTTGTAGAATCATTTTAAAAATGCAGACAGGCCAGATAAATGAGTGTGGTTACAAAGCTACATGGATAGGCTCAGGTCCATTAAACTGTGATATCAGCAACAGTTTTAGATATGAGGGAAAGCTTTTTTTGGTTATGGCCAAAGGGGTCATGGGAAATCCTGTCGCCCTTCTTGTTGTCGCTTCTCCCAGGGTAAAGTTTCACTCAGAGGAATGTTGTTGAGGATGGCAGACATTCCTTTCGCTCTGGAGGTGTTCAGCTGCGTTGCTGACTGACTTGAGCTCAGAGTTTTAGCATGACTCTGTTTCTGTCCTCCTCTGTATGAACCCAAGCTGTCAAACAGACACACAAACCTGACCTCATGTGACGTTCACCTGTTCAAGTGCTTAACGCTGCCACAAGGTGGCAAAAAAAAGCTCCTTTTAACCACATTTCTGACAACTTCCATGAAACACATTCACTTACACACTTTTTTATGTTGATCTATATGGGCTGGCTGTAACCTTCTCTTCATCTCCTTCCATTATCAGCATGTATTCGTTCTCCGTTATCGACAACCAGCACCTGCAGTACCTGTGGAACTGGACTCAACACAACCTGACGATTGGGAATGGACGTCTCTTCTTCCGTCTGAACCCCAAACTCTGCATGTCTGAGATTCACAAGATGTGGGAGAAGACAGGCATTGCTGTGAAGCCAGAGGAGGGAGATTTCCGTAACAACGGCGAACGGGCCAGCTGTGAGTACATTCACATTGACTTCGACACATTGGTCGAGCTTTTTGTTGTTATTGTCTTTTTTTTTTTATCATCACTATGTGTTTTTTTTGCAGTCATCCAGTTTTTTAGGGACATTAAAAAAGTAATGCTAGATTGTCTTAATATTGTATGTGTCTCATTGCGCGTCCTGCTCTGTCGCAACAGGTGAAAGTCATATCTTGAAGTTCAAATCTAACATCACATTAAGCCATACGATCAAGCTGGCATGGGAGCGCTACCGGCCGTCGGACTACAGAGACCTGATCAGCTTCATAGTCTACTACAAGGAGTCGTGAGTACTCAGAAGACAAACAACTCGTTATCCTTTATAACACCTTATCCCTGTTGCTAAACAATCAATTCTGATAGTACATGTTATTTTTTTGTAAATAGTGAACTTGTCATTTTTAAGTGAATTCCTTTTTGCCAATGTACAACTATGTTTTGTGTCTTTGCCAGCCTGTTCAAGAACATCACAGGGTTTGACGGGCAGGATGGCTGTGGCTCAAACAGCTGGCACATGGTGGATGTGGACTTCCCTCAGGATAAAAACGATGACCCTAAAGTCAGTCTTCAACAACTCAAGCCCTGGACCCAGTATGCTATTTTTGTAAAGGCCATTACCCTGCAGGTGGAGGACAAACACATTACTGGCGCAAAAAGTGATATCATCTACATTCGCACACGCCCATCGCGTAAGTCTGACCATCAGCCTGTTGGCACCAATACTGTAGTTGTTGATTATATCTAATGCTGTTTGGAAATTATTTGTGATTCAAATGCAACCTTCTCAGTAATTACTGCAAAACATGTTAATGTAGCATGCTGACTTTGGCCCTATTGCAGTGCCGTCTATGCCCAAAGACGCCCGTGCATACGCCAACTCCTCAACCAGGCTAATGGTGAAGTGGTCACCTCCTGCCTTTCCCAACGGCAATCTCACTTACTACCTGGTCCGCTGGCAGCAGCAGCCTGAGGACAGGGAGCTCTACCAACATAACTACTGCTCCAAAGGTGAGCAATACTCATTCTATAAAACAATAACCATCTTTTTATTGTCTTAGCATCCTACTGTTAGGTCTTTTGTTGTCTACAAAAATAACCACAACTTTTTTGGGAAATACCTTTAATTTCTTTCTTGCCAGGGGTAAAGGATTGATACCACTCTAATGTCTGTACGTTAAATATGCAGCTATAGCCAGCAGCTAGTTAGCTTAGCTTAGCATAAAGACTAGAAAGAGAGGGGAACATTGTTTTTTTTTTACCCTTAGATTGTTGTACACATGACTATTCCTTTAATTTTGACACATAAATCAATATCTATTAAAACATATTTTCAGCAGTTGCTCTGATAATGCAGATGGATTCCTGTTGCTAAACACTCTTGTTTTCTCCTAAAACAGAGCTGAAGATCCCGATCCGTATCCCAGCCACAGGCTTCACGGACATGGAGGACAACACCAAGCCCACCAAGTCAGACCTGGCAGGGGCAGAGAAGGGCCAATGCTGTGCTTGCCAGAAGACGCCTGAGGAGAAAGACAGGGAGAAGGATGACCGGGTCTTTTTAAAAATTTTCGAGAACTTCCTTCACAATGCCATCTTTCTGCCGAGGTAACGTAAGCCACAGATATAGTGAAGACTAAAACTGTTTACAGCTACTGCTCTGGGCCTCCTTTCCTTCTGTGGAGATGGCGATCAAAGAGCTGAACTTGTTTGCCTTGATGGGTCAAAAATGAGGAATGAGGTGGCGGCCCGGGCGTTATGGCTCCTCAGTGGAGCCGACAGGATCCGAGCATGGGGGCTTAGCTGGACATGCCGGGTGCTGAGCCGGCCCGCTGGCCTCGGCCCTTTTGTCGGACGGTGCAGATGAGGAGGCATGCTGAGTAGGATCCAAAGCCTTCTTAGCGCTCTTGTGGCTTTATGTTGCCATGGCAACGGTGGCACGGGGGGTGGATGTTAGGACCAAGCAGGCAGCAATTTAGGCAACACAAACAAACCCAGGAGAGAGATGCGATTAAGGAGTCTGAAGGGCCTAGTTTGGCTGCACACCCGTGGCTGCTTATGCTTTTGTTCTCCACAATAGGGACTGACATCTGTGTTGTGTTATCATTTAACTTAGCTCGTGGCTAAGGATGTTTCGCTGTTTCAAAGACTCCCACTCTGCTCTCCTCCCACACTCCCTTTTATTCTCATATAGACAGTCACAAACAATTTATGCGTTTGTCTATTGGTGCCGTAGCACTGCATCTCCAACATCCATCACAGTCAAATACGGAGACCTTTGATAAACTTGTTGCTTCCCAGCAAGAACACTCCGCAGGTATCTTATAAATCCATACTGTAGCTTTAAACGATGCCACCGAGCCTCCAAAGTTCATTCATTCAAGCAGCGTTACGGTGCCCTTCTCTTTTCCTTCGCAACGCTCCTGTGAAATTGTATCGATGTGTTTGGAGGAAGAATAATAAAACAGCTTTTCGTTGTAATTTAACTCATATATGCCCCCCCCCCCCCTCCTCTCCCCTCCTCTCCCCTCCCCTCCCTTCTCTCCCTGGCTGTGTTGATTTGTTATAGTATAGCTGTCTAGGAAACAAACGGATGGCAGGTCCCAGGCCTGCAGCGAAGGGTTCAAGCTGTGTATGCACAGACTCTCCACTGTAACAGAGCCAGCATTATACCAAACCACTCCAGGGAAAGGGCTAGAAAATCGGGGAGATTTTTTTTTTCAAAGGTTCAGGGTTTAGACCCAGGGTGAGGGGAAAGAGGGTGGGTGAAAACAGAAACAGAAAGAAGAGGAAATGTTTTCCATTCTGTCCCCCTCCACCCGGCACTCCCCTCCCCTCCTCTCTTTGTCAGGGACTTGTGTTTTTTCTCTCGCTCTCTCTTTTTTCTTTCTGGAGTGAGACAGCTGCCAGGAAATGTACAGTGAATCCATCTGGAATTTAAATGAATTAGGGAAGAGCCCCATCATTGCTAGACAAACAGAAAGTAAAGGAAGGCAGACTGATGTGGTGGAGGAGAGGGAGGATTGCTGCACAAAGAGGATGGCTGCCACTGCCAGTGTCTGTTTAGGAGACCTTATGGTACGATCCAAAACCTGACTGGAGCATTTATTTACTGTAATCGCTCCCCGTTGAGACTAATGATGAATACATAAAAGATAAATTAATAAGGACTCCCTGGAAGTTACCTCTTCTTTTGTCCTGAGATTTTGAGCCTGCAGTATGTGCCTTACTCGCTACAGGCTTGATGTGTAGTCAAGGCTTTACTCTCTGGATTCCATTGCTTGCGTAAAGGTAAATCTTTTTTTGCGGGTGAGGTCATGACACTAACTGTAGTAACTCACTAGTTATAAGGTCATGCTTCAGTCAGTTGAGGAGCCTTCTCACAGTGTTAAGACTGACCTGCTTAACTTAACACTCTCATTGCACATTCAGAAATTGGATCCCTCAAGTTGTTTTTCATCTGGCCTCTGTGGTCTATCTGTCTTTCTGCCTCTTGTTCAATCACTTCTGTTACAGAATAGTTTAAGATTTACTTGTGCAAATCTGCATCTCTCAATCCAGAACTCTCTTGTCAGTTTTCATATTATGTTTTATGTATTTTTAGACAGTAACAGTAGCAGTTTTTGAGTGCTGGACTTTGGATTGTACTGCACCAGTTATAACTGTCAGAGAGGAATGTTGACATGTCAGTGCGACTGGTCTTTCCCACGGGTCTGTCTGTGTCTGTACACTCCTCGTGTAGGTGCGTGTCTGCTCAGACACAAAAGATGCTTGCTTGTAGCTTTTTCTCAGTCAGGTCTCTGAGTTTACTCCCTCACTTTATTACTTGTGGTGGAGCTGTCAACAGAAAAATATTCAGCAGCTATTTTAATAAGCAAATTATTACTTTAAGCAATTTTTTTTAAGCAAAAATGTAAAACAATCTCATCTTTAAGCTTCCTAATTGTGATGATTTGCAGCTTTTCTTTGTCTGGTTTGATAGTAAATTGAATATTTTGGGAGTTCTGGAGTGTTGGTCGGACAATACAAGCACCTTTTAGACATCACCTTGGGCTTAAGGAAGTCGTGATTATTCACATTTTATGGACTAAATAATGAATCAATTAATTGAGGACAAATCGTCAGATTGATGAATACTTAAAATAATTGTTAATTGCAGTCTTAATTCCCAGTATACCGTTTGAATCATGTCTGAGCTGTTTCGTATGCTGTGATACAAAACCTAGCTTGTTCATGCTGTCCTCATTACATTTCCAAACAACCCCTGAACATGTATCACCTTGCAAGAGCGCTGTAAATGCTCCATATACCTGTTGTCACCTGCTGTCGATACGGCTTTCATTTTCCAACTCAGCCCTTTCCTTCGTCCGTCTGTCTCAGCTGACTACCCTGTAGGTTTCATAGGACACTACTGGAGGCTAGGTGCCCTCTGGCGTCTGTTGTGCCTCTGCTGCTGCTACAGTCACAGCTGTCAGCCCCTGCATGTCCAGCTCCAGGCGGCTCCACTGCTTATCATCTGCACTATGAGACCACATGTCCATTCACTGCAATGCCCTTAGTCTGGGTGCTGAAACTTTTTTTGGTTCAGAATGTCACAAAGATATAAGCCATATTTTCTGTCTCGTCAGCTTTTTTTTGTGTCTTTGTCTCTTTCTCTGTGTGTCCACCTCGCTATGATCTGTCAGACCTCATCCTTCGACACAGCTCCACAGGGAGTGTTATGCAGCATCCGTACACATGGTGGACACATGCACACATACAAATTTGCACTTACTCTACCCGGTTCAGCAAGAAGCTTCAGCTTTTTCTTTTGGGAGTTATAAATATGCAATTATTTGTAATGAAAGGATTTCCAGTACAAACTATATTCTTCTGTCTTTTATTATAATAACAGCGCTCACTATACTGGAATCGATTTTCTTACAGCTGTTTCATCCTCTGTATTTCAGACCTCCAGATCGTCGACGTAGAGATGTTTTTGGTTTGGCTAACAACACACTGCTCTATGACGGTGTTGGCAGGGGGAACACCACCCTTGGTCTAGGGGATAACAGTACAGATGGCATTCCTCCCATCAGGGAGTACCCCTTCTCAGAGGACAAGGGCACAGCAGAATATTTAGAGATCCCCAACCTGCAACCCTTCACTGTCTACCGCATTGACATCCATGCATGTAACGAGGAGGTTGGGCGCTGCAGCGCTGGAGCCTTCGTCTTCTCCAGGACCAAACCGGCAGGTAAGGAAGTGACCCTGGATACAATCTATGATAGAAATATGACACAGTGGTCTGTAACACCTGATCTTACAGTGCATTGTAGACACAAGCTTGTTCTGTGTGTGTGTGTGTGTTTCCCAGTCAAAGCAGATGACATCCCTGAAAAGGTGATCTATGAGAGGAGTGACAAGGTTGAGGGTTGTGTGATGCTGCACTGGCCAGAGCCCTTCATGCCCAACGGTCTCATCCTGATGTATGAGATCAAGTTCCGTGTGGGGACAGAGGTGAGCCAGGCTGGGTATAACTGCAGATCCCCTCAGACATGTTTAAAGACATATCAAAATGATCCCAGCACATGAACACAAAAAAATCTTTCCACCTTCAGCAGATTCTAGTGTCAAACTCTGCACCTACATCATTCATTCTGCACAGTGCACAGTCAAACATCCAAGTGAAGTAACAGCAGGCAAGACACATTTTTGAGCGGCGCAAGACTTTTAAAGTGATAGATCTGCAAGTCCCCATAATGGCCTAACATCATTTTTTTTAAACAGAATGCACAATACTCTGTTTTACCAACCTGATCGTTCACAGTAACCACCATGTGTACTTTGTTTTTTTTCATTTTAGCCTGAGAAACATGAGTGCGTGTCACGGCAGCAGTACCGCGAGCACCAAGGAGCCCGGCTGACCAACCTGGGCTCAGGGAATTACTCTGCTCGCGTGCGCGCTACTTCACTAGCAGGAAACGGCTCCTGGACCGAGAGCGTGTTCTTCTACGTGCCTCCGCCCAAACGTAAAACTACATTTCTCGCACATTAAATACTGTTTATAGAACAAAAACTTGACTTCTAAAGTAGATAAGAAATGAATCCTTTCTGTTCTGTCTGGCAGGAGACGATGTTGTTACGTTCTACTTGGTCATCATAATTCCCATTATAGTGACAGTTTTCATTGCTGGCCTCACCACGATTGTCTTCTTTGTGAACAAAAAGAGGCAAGTATCTTCATGGACTTGCTTTCCACATTGCCGGACAAAGTCCCCTGATAATGTTGTTCTACCTCGCTATGCTCATGAAACCTAATGACTAGTGTAATGTCAATTAGAGTTAACAGGTGTTGTTTTCATTAACATTCCCCTGTGGTAAAGCGTTCTTAAAGAGAATTACATGTCACATCCACAGTCGGAGCTGCCTGCCGACTAACTTAGCTGTCTTTGTGTTAATAGGAATAGCGACAGATTGGGGAATGGAGTCCTTTACGCGTCTGTCAACCCCGAGTACTTCAGTGCTGCTGAAAGTAAGGATATGCAATATCTTGTACATTTTTTCACTGTTAAGTTTTGCTGTGCGTGCATGTTTTTGACCCGCTGTCTGCTGTGTTGTGCCAGTGTACGTCCCAGATGAGTGGGAGGTGGCCAGAGAGAAGATCACAATGCACAAGGAGCTGGGCCAGGGCTCCTTCGGCATGGTGTACGAAGGCCTCGCCAAGGGAGTGGTCAAGGACGACCCGGAGACACGAGTGGCCATCAAGACAGTCAATGAGACGGCCAGCATGAGGGAGCGCATTGAGTTTTTGAATGAAGCCTCTGTCATGAAGGAATTCAACTGTCACCATGTGGTAAGAGCGGCACGGCCTGAGCTGAGCGAGAAAAAGCCTGAAATAAATGCAGATAAATCGTCACAATATGGCTTGAAAAAAACCCAACACATCGTTTTATTGAACCCAATTGCAAGAAAGTGCTCTTGATTATCATTTCCTAGTTAATCTGCATGGATGCAGAGAGAAAGGTGTCAGCAGGTCACAAGCACTGAGTATACTGTGCTTTACTTTACTCATGCAGCTACAGCCTGAGGCAGGGTTTAGCCTCCTGGAGATTGTGTAGATTCTTTCATCAGCGTGATCACAGCCTCATTAACTACGTTAAACGGATGTTTTAATGATTTTCCTGAGGAAAGCTGCTGTTACAACCTTTTTATCAAGTCTCTAAACACTCCATTATTACACTACATATTCAAATGTAGAATGGATTTGGGACTTTTGACTCATCATACCTGACCTGTGCTGTATTGTGATTTGTGTAGGTGCGGCTGCTGGGTGTAGTCTCTCAGGGACAGCCAACCTTGGTGATTATGGAGCTGATGACCCGTGGAGATCTCAAGAGCCACCTGCGCTCTCTGCGCAAAGAAGTAAGCAGCTTTTCCTCGCACATACATCCACACACACACACACACACACACACACATTTCAGCTCAATGTCAGAGCTCTTACATAAAAAGGTGATGGTGTGAATTGTCACATACACACAACCTGTCCCCCTTTTTCTCCCACACCCACGTTCACATTTCCTCACACAGCGTCCATCCCTCACTTTATAATGCTGAGCTGTAACCAGTGTCCGGTGTTGTGGCTGACTGTACAGTGTTGTTTCACTCCTCACTCTCTCGCCTCATCCCCAGAACTCCACCAGCCAGGTCCTACCCCCGCTCAAAAAGATGATCCAGATGGCAGGGGAAATTGCAGACGGCATGTCGTACCTAAATGCCAACAAATTTGTCCACAGAGATCTGGCTGCCAGGAACTGCATGGTAGCGGAGGACTTCACTGTGAAGATTGGAGGTAAGTCAAGTTAATACTATGCCTTCAGCCTCCCCTGGTTGCTCAATGCTGAACTGGCCTCGAAAATAAGTGCTTGTATTTCTCTGAGTGCCTGAGGCAGTGCAGTCTTAATGTAGATGGACAGAGGGAGGGAGAGAGGGAGGAGGTGAGGGAATGGATGAGCTCTCAGGAGCTCCCTCTCTCACACAGAATGAGTGATATTTAGTGGCCTTCCCAACCTCTGTTTTCATTTTTTTTTCTTCAGATTTTGGCATGACCAGAGATATTTATGAGACGGATTACTACCGAAAAGGAGGGAAGGGCCTGCTGCCTGTCCGTTGGATGTCTCCAGAGTCGCTGAAAGATGGCGTGTTCACTACAATGTCTGATGTTTGGTATGAGAACTCTGTTACTCTCTTACACACGCTCACAAGCCTGCATCATGCATGCATAAACCTGCCCTAATCCAGGGGCCTTGCAGAGTATTCCAGAAAAGTCTACAAATTACTGTGTGGAATCACTAAAATATTTCATGCTGTGGTGTCAAAACTTTAAAATGTATGTATGTATATGTGTATATATATATACACACACACTTCACTTAACCGTTTGAACATGCATTTCCTGCCTTCAATCCTCTCTGTGGATGCTGTGACAGCTAGCAAAACCATCACAATCTTTTGGTTTCCAGCTGGCTCCAGACGAGCGTAGAACAAGATACATCTGTATTATTTTACTGACACCTTTCTTATTCCAGCTTGCAGAGAAGTCTCAGTTTACAGTCCTGCCACATTTTTCTATCTGGAGCAATATTGTTTTACTAAAATACAAGTGTTTACTAGCTCCCTTGCAATTTTTTGTTTCCCAACTCAAAATGTCCCACGGGTCAGTCCTTAAGAGTGGGCTTAAACTGCTCCAGATGTTCTCAAATGATAGGTTGCAGTGCCAGCACAAACCCACCTCCACATTTGCGTTCTCTATCTTCCTCTTTGATGTTGTGCAGATGAAGTTTAGCGTAAGACCGAGCCATTATGGGCTCCTTAGGAATCCACGAGTAGGTGACTTTTATTTTGTTGATCGAGAAAAGCTGTCCGAATGTGGCTTTGTCTGTCAGCACAAGACAGTTTCAGCCACTTATATGCAGTGTCGTAATAAAAGACTGTTGAACGTAAACTGAACTCATGCCAGTTGTGAAATTCTGACTAGCAGGAGTGAAAAAATATTGTGCTTTTTTTAGTCAAGATAAGAATTGTCTTCATGAGTAGTTTCATAGTAATATAATTGCAAAGTAGCTTGAGGTTAAACTGAGGTGACGTTCACTGTACTGTAAATACTTTATACTGAGGCTGGTCCATTTTGATTCAGTGACTGGCACGCTGATACACAGCTTACATTACCCTCAATTCCTAAGGGCTGCCAGGTTTTAGGTTTAACTTGATGTAGACAGCATAAGGAGATGTGTTTGCTGTGTGCTGCTTCTCTCATATCGTTCTCCAACATACTCTGCTCAGTAATTGTTGTCAGGTTACTCTTGCGCTGACCATTGTGTTTTAGTTAACAGGTTACTTATACTCCAGATAATGTAGGGATTTAAAGTTACAGTATTTAAAGCAGCATTTATCATTAGCATAACACAAACTTTTTAATAATACATTTCAATTCAATACAAGTTAATGATACTATTTGCATCAAAAGTATCTTGAAGCTGAATTAATTAATAGGATTTTTTGGCTACTTTGGGCGGTGGAGCAAACTGTAAACACAACGCTGACATAATATCCCCTTTGAAAATTGACAACTGTTGGGAACTGCAATCGAAGGATTCTCTGTGGTTTCGTTGCTAGAAGTGTCACCTCTCACACTACACATAGTCATTTGACCCAGTGTTAATATGAAAATATTGATTAGGGCAGCTTTAAATGTTCATACCAGTGTTTATTTTTCTTTTTATTAATTAATCAATCAACCAAAAAGACTACAAATTGTGTCTTCACTTAAACCACAACGTGGAATGTAAATTAATAAAAGCAGACATTATATTCACTGTAATGGATTACCTAACCTTTTTTGTGAAACAAAAAGAAACCATTGGCTTCCTGAAAAGTGGGAAAACCACAGTTGAAAAGCATGCTTTGAAAGATGGTTCACACTAATGGAAGGTAACTGTACATGCTTTGTATTAAAAGGGAAAGTGAAGAAACCACAGAATTCTGCACACAGTCGACTACTTGTACTCACTTAATTGATGATGTTTTGGTCCTCAGACCTTCATCAGGTACAATTCAATGAATTAATGAGTCACCTAATGAAGGTCTGATTGGCCCAACAATCCTTTGATAAAGTGAGTACAGTGTGCATGATATGTGTCGTTACAGAAATATAAATAAATACTATAAAATTCTTGTTTCAATTCTTACCGCAGGTCATTTGGTGTTGTGCTGTGGGAGATTGCCACCTTAGCAGAACAGCCTTACCAGGGCATGTCTAATGAACAAGTGCTGCGCTTCGTCATGGAGGGAGGTCTCTTGGACAAACCTGACAACTGCCCTGATATGCTGTAAGTCTCCTTGTATCTGTGATCAATAACTGTGTAAGGTTAATGTTACATCACCCTTGAAGGGCCTCGCACAGCCTTCAGGGCCATTAGCATTTTGTCCAGCGTCTATTTTAAGTTGTGATTTGAAGTGTTTAAGGTATCGTGTGGTGTGTATGCTTAAGTAGAGCCAAGATGAGGCCTGACATTAACGTCACTGGTTAAATGTGGTCCGTTGACGAACACGGCCCTGGTGGTCAGCTGGCAGTGAGGAGCCTCCTCACCCGTCAGCCTCGGCCCATAGAAGGGACGCCACGACTCGTGGGTGGCATGAGGAGGGAGATGATTTCTGACTGTCAGCAAAGGGAGTGGTAGAGACAGAGACATAATTCATTAATGAATCATCCTGGCTGTAAGAGAAGCGAAATCACAGCACAGCCTGCTTGTCAGCATGCAGCGCTGCATGTATGCATTTCTCTCCTCTCCCACTCTGACCTCAATAAGAAGGCATTCTGCTTTCTCCCCTCCCACTCTCCATGGCTGACCTCACCTTCGAAAGAGAGTGCGAGTAGAAAAAAAGAGGGCCGAATGTTGTGCAGACACAAACCTCTCGTTTCTATGGCAGCCTGACTGCTTTGTCCTGATTACAGGAGTGTGTGGATTGTGTTACAAAGGTGGTGGTGGGGACGGGGTTAGCCTCCTGGTCGGGGAGCAACACACAGGGCTTTTGCCGCTGGTTCGCCTTCAATGTAGTGACTTAATGGAGAGTTCCAGAAGACTGCTGAAGTGTGGTGGAGCCAGACGTCCATACAAAGACTGAATATAAGGATACAAGAGGAGAAAGCCGGCAGGATAGCAGACAACAGAGATGAGTCATATTTTGGAGAGCCTTGAATGTGTCCTCCTTGTACGGTCTTTCCCATGGTCAGGTAGCTGTGGGTCACTGATTGGATGTCCCATGTTTCTGTCTAGAGTTTCCTGTGGACAAAAGGGCATTCTCTCTCGCAGGGTTGGGCCAAAATGAAATCCAGACTCCGTGATTATATTAAAGAACATGATTTATTTTGGAATGTGTAGTATCGCTCACAGTGCTATGATGCATCGAGGTTTCATCACATGGGGATGTTGCAGTTCTGAAGCTGTGCAGTTCTGTTGCAAGAGATTATTAAACATTTAACATAGATGTTTGGAGACCGTTCTGTACTCCACTTGGCCTGAAAGTGTGTCTGTTTCTGATTTTATTTGAGCATTTCAAGATTTCTTTTTGTACATTTATTTTTTTTTTTAGGCTGGTGAAATTTCTTCTGTGTCTAGACTGGTGCACATTCCTTTATAAAGGCCTGACTGCTGCCAAATTAACTTTTGAAAGCACATTTTTTCACTATCCCGATATGTGCTTGTTACAATAGGCATTTATTGATGTGACACAAAAGTTCAGACACGCATATATAAGCCAGCGCTACATTTATATATATATATATATATATATATATATATATATGTCCAGCAGACACATTGACAGGGCGATACATATACAGAAGTACAGCTTGACAAAGATATCAAGCTAAATGGAACGAAAAAAAGAAAAACACAGAACAGGCAGTCAGTAAAACTTTATTCATACACCACATTTGGATTGTTAAAATAGAATTGAATGTACCAAATGTGCATGAACAGGTAAACAAACACAAGTGATGGAGAAAAAAAAAAACTGCTGGCAATGCACAAACAAATAGGTTTGACGTCGATAAGTTCTTTCATGCCAACGTGGGTTTGGACATCTTAACGTCAACTTTAAGACACTTGCTGCACTGCTGAAAGACAAGCCAGAGTCGCACCCCCTGCTGCTTCAGAGTATGAGGTCGAGGCGCGTGCTCCATGGGCGCGTGCTTAGGGAAAGTTCTACCCATAATTCCTATGTGCAGAGGGGAGCTGGCACCCAGCTGCAGAGACCGGTGTAGGCTGCAAAGAGACTACTGGAAGAGAAAGAAAACAAGAGAGAGGGAACAGCAAGAGCGGAGGAGAGATGACTGAGGTGTTTGTCAGCAGGCCTTGGAGAGTATTCTTAGCTTGTTTGTGTATAATTGAAGTTGTGGTGTGTGGTGAAGCACCACACAAAACTGTAATATTTCTCACTTTATGTTTTGACATTCCCAAAGCTCGGCTGCTGGCCTGGCACAGTAACCTTACGTATAATTTACTGTGCTGCTGAGTACATGCGACATCACTGATCCTACTGTATGTGTTGTAATGTAGCAATAAATATGACACATCTGAATTTTGAATATCTCATTTGAACTGGCATGTTCACTAAGAGCACCTGTCAACAACAAAACTGTGTGAAATTGATCAGCAAGTCCAAGAGATAGAGGCCGGTAAAGGTGATTTCACATCATTTTTATATGAGCCGTTTCCGTCAGGCTAAAGGTACAAACAGTTCATTACATTCACGCCCACTAATATAGGAATACTATACAAAATGTGAAACAAAAAATGTGTGGATGTAACACTTTTTAAAATAATATTTTGTCTGTTTTACTGTTTTGAAAAGCACAGAATGGATTTAATCAAAGCATCTGGTCTATCAGACATTTACTGTAGTAGTAATCCAGTGAGTAGCAGTACAATGTATTCATCTAGTTTACAGTACGATATACTGTGCTGTCTGCAAAGTTTGTTTTTGAAGATCAATATATAGTGAACTGAGCTTTAACTTCAGTGTCTCCTGCCACCTGCTGGTGAGAAATGCGAAGTCTTCCTACTCTGAAGTTTTATAGGGTATGTTCATGTTTTTTCCAAGTCGATCTCAACACAACACTCACATGCCCATAAGTACATTGAAAGAGTTGTTGTAATCCTCCCTCCTGTCCTCCTGGATGTGAAGTAGCACAATTACACTCTCAGATGGTGGACAATATCCACAGTTCTCATTTTGTGCAGACAAAGCTTATATGAGGCTAAAACGACGCATCAGTCAAAGTGAGTTAATTTAAGTTGATGTCTTACAAAATGTATTTTTAGAAAAAAAAATCCTGAAGTTCATTGTGCAAAAACTATGTATTGTATTCGACTTTAAAAAAATGAAACCTTTTTCTTTTAATAACAAAAATCCCAAAAGATCTACCGTACATTACTGACCCTTTTGTGCATCACTTGTAGGTTTGAGCTGATGAGGATGTGCTGGCAGTATAATCCCAAGATGCGTCCGTCCTTCCTGGAGATCATCAGCAGCATCAAAGATGAACTGGATCCTCCCTTCAGGGAAATGAGCTTCTTCTACAGCGAGGAGAACAAGCCGCCGGACACCGAGGAGCTGGACATGGAGGTAGAAAACATGGAGAACATTCCACTGGACCCTGCATCCACCAGGCAGCCCCCTGCTGCTGCTGCTGCTGCTGCTGCTGCTGCTGCTGCTGCTGCTGCTGCTGCCGCCAACGCGCCTTCGTCAGGGTGCACAGGAGGCACGCCGCCTCCTACTACCCAGCAGTTATCCCCCATGCAAGGCCCGAGTACTCCATTATTGGGACCCATGTCTCCCTCCTCCCCGGGCCCGGTTGCCTCAGCCTTGGCGTCTCCAGGCCAAGCCTTGGACAAGCACTCAGGACATGTTTCGGCCAACGGGCCTGTGGTGGTACTACGGCCCAACTTTGACGAGATGCAGCCCTATGCACACATGAATGGGGGCAGAAAGAACGAACGGGCGTTACCACTGCCCCAGTCGTCGGCCTGCTGATATCAGATCAGCCCCTCCTTCTCCTCCTCTTTTTACACAGGGTAACACAAACCTCTCCTCCATCTCTTAAGGAGGGATGGATGAGGTAAGAAATGACTCTCTTCTACTGTGTGCCAGTAGATGGTCTCTCCACTCCTTTAAGGTCGAACATAAACTCTAAAAACTGAGAAAAAGTAGAGCGTTTAGGAGTTTGGCGGCTCAGACTCGACACTGGGGAACTCCTTCCTGTGCCGCCTGTGTTTCAGTCGTTGTTACATAAGTCCTTCGAGAAGGAAAACAATACAGGCATGTATCCTGACATACAGATTTAGACATAAAATGTATGAAAATCTTTTTTTAGCATATCTGCCAGCAAATCCAACAGAAGAGCACTTTTTTTCCTGATGATTTCAGAGAGGATGTTGTGGATAACTGAGTGTGTATTTATACGAAAACACGTGATTCTCTCTATAATATGGCTTCATTTCTAAAAGACTTTCCATCAAAATGACTTTGTTTGCATGAGCAGGTCATCTCATGTCATGTGAGGATGCCTCAATTAGGAAGTTTGGACTAAGATCATTGTTTCTGTTTCCTGTTGATATCTCTATGATCTCGTCAGGAGCGGGTCAAAATGGAAGCGGAGGGCCTATTGTGTATCTGCCAAACTATTGCCAAATCAAGCTTTTTCTTCAGTTTATAAAGGTCTCCCTTCTTGTTTAAGGCGGTGTTTCAGAGTTGAGACTGTCTGGTGAACAATACCAGAGCTGTTTGGTGGTTTTCAGACTTCATGCTTATCTTGGGTACTAGCTGCTCCTGGACCAGCTGTGTGTGTGTGGGGGGGGGGGTTAACACAGGACAGAATACAGTGGTACTGTTGAGAAAGGCTGCATTCACTCCTGCAGTCAAAGTTGTCTCAGTGTATGCAGCATCTGCATTGGGGGGCAGAATAAATCTAGCGAGCATTGAGATACTTGGAGGAGAAACGTGTCACTAAATTTCTTCTAAGTGAATTGCATAAAGAGAGGCCAACACAAAAGCAGGGCTGTTTGATTTAGGATTTGAAATGTAAGCAAAGGCCTCTTTTAATCAAATTTAAAGTTCATGTTTTTCAAATCAATTAATTGACACAATACTGGTAAAAATGTATCTGAAAATGGAATAAACAGGAATTTTACTAAAATAACTTTTTAAATGTTATTATATTTATTAAGTTGAAACAATTAAAAACATGCAACTGATTTGGTAATTGATTTAAGTCATTTTTCTAAACAAACAGCCAGATTTGATTGGTTCTCCAGCTCCTCGCGTGTAATGATTTGCTGCTTTTCTTTTGTGGTAAACTGGATTTGTTTGGGTTTTCCCCCTTCATCCCTTGAACAGCTGGGGAAAGAACACATATCACTTAAATCAGCCAACTCTGAATCACAGCCTCAGTCTGTCTTTGTTTTAGTCGAAAAAAAAAACAAATCTAAACAAAGCATCACAAGTTTCACACTGCAAGTTACTGAACTTCATAATCAAGGGATACGGCTCTGCCTCCACGTCATATATTCAAACCTCATCTGACATCTTGTAAACTGTGCATCTCATGTGGGAGGTGAACTTTGTTCTCTCTGATGCTGCTCTTCAAATTAAATGGCACCAAATAATTTAGTAATGCAAACAGAGTCGAAGACCGGAGACGGAAAGCGAGAAGGCATTGGATCAGATTTCAGTAGCCCAGAGACGACTTTTAAATCACAGCAGGTCTCTTTTAGAATATTCATTCGTTTCTCTACATTTCAAACACATCTAAAGATCTTACGGTTGTATTTTAGACTGCAGGATCATTTTTATACACATCATTGGTTTTGTCACTTTTTTAAACCTTTTTACAGTTCAAAATGTATGCCTCTATGTCTGTACAGAACAAAGCTGCTATTTTTATTCTTTTTCTCTTTTGGATGTTATATATATGTATATATATATATATATATATATATATATATATCCTTCAGGTTTGGTATTTTATGGTCTCCACTACAGTCCATTTCTTTATATCTTCAAACTGTTTAAAAAAAAAAAGAAAAAAAAAAAAAAAGATGATTTAAATACAAAAGCATTTTTTTTCTGTTACCCCAAAGGTTTTTCTGTAACACTATATTTTGTTCATTGCCTTTTATTTTTATGAAATCTTTCCTCCTGTATTTGTTTCATGGATGTCTATATTATTATTAATATTATTATTATTTGGAATGGACACCTTAGCTCGATCTGTGAGCGTGTACTTTCTGCACCCTTTTTGTACTTGTTGTCTAGCACTGCGCCTAGCATTGCCCTCTAGGTGCAACTCAATCTCAGGTCAAAGTAAAGGCTTTGCTTTCTCCACACATTCTCATGATCGTCCTCTACTTGTACCTCCCCCTCCCCCCCATCATGTTTTGTTGAGTCCAGTAGTGTCCTCTCTCTCTCCCCTCCCCTTTTGAAGTCAGTGCACGAGATATTTACACCAGATCTGGTATTTTAACCCATCCATTTCTTGCCTCCCCTTGAATCAATAGGGCTGAATGGGTTGTCTTATTTGCCTTAAATATGCCAACCATAATTCCAAATCAGATTTTCTTTCTCCCTTTTTTTTTATTACATCAACACTCTCAAGCGCAATACAACGCCACTTCTGCTAATGTTACTTCATCAAAGTGAAAACCGATCTTATTGTTTGTCTCCATGATCACTGCTTCTGAAAACCAAATAATGGATGGATTAAAGTCCAGGGAAGGGAACACATTTCACCGTCATGAATGGAAAAGGCTCTTAAATGGAGGCTGAGTAGTGAAAGTGTTTTGAAGGAGTTCTCCTAGTCTTTTTTGAAATGTTGCCTTGTGATTTTTCCCCCCTCTCTTTGAAATTTTTTTTTCTCTGTAGGAGTGTTATTTATTACTTTTTTTTATTTTCCTTTTGTGATATCAGTTTAAATCACTGTATAAATGCCCCATGATTCAGTATAAAGTTGGATTTTTTTTTGTATGTATTTTCTTTGGTGTCATGACTGGGGGACTTTAAAAGTTTTTTTAGTTTTTTGTTTGTTTTTTTCCTTCAAGTATATATCTACCTCACTCTTTTTTGAATGAACGTGTATGGAAAACAAGTACATCTCACTTTCATCAGTTTGTATAGAAACCTCATCATCTGGATAAAACCCACAGGGATCTAGATAAACCTCACAAAGACAACTTGGACAGGAGATGGAATATCTGTGTTGCGAGTTCAGTCCACCGATTTTAGGCCCAGTGGTTTACAAAAAGTAAGTGTATACCTCTGAGAATACATGAGAGGACTTCGGTACAGTGCGCTTTAGTTCTCCGCAGAATCAGTTTAAATTGTTGTCGGGTATTTTACATAATTATGTCAACCTACACTTAAATTTGACTGGATACAGTGTAAAAAGGCTGAGCGCAGGTGCAGTTTAAGAGACCAGGGCACAACGTCAACATCAAATATCCCATCTCCACTGACTACCAACATATTGTCACAACCTTTAAATCCTCAAAAGACAGAAAACTTAATTTTTTTCATCTAAAATGCATTTATAATAGAAGTCCGAACGGTTATCATGGGGAATATTTAAAAAGGGAAAAAATGTTTTATTGATCTCCAAGAAAAACAATGTGTTGGCTGCACGGTAACAGCACAACTCAAACATCCAAATGTCATCCACACTCAAAAATGATATTCTGTTATGTATATGGGTCAGTGCTATGAATGTAACAAAGAGCGTAGAGATAGCAGCAACTCCACCTACATGTTTCTATCTTCAGAGAAAATGGAGAATTTCAATCATTTGTCAGTCAATGTTATGTCCTTTTTTTTTTTTTTACCTTGTAAACTCTTTGTTTTTAAGTGCACACCATCACTTCCCCTGTCCAAGTCTATTTGCTGTGCAGAATGCCATGGGATTCGAGCTCTAGACACAGATCATTTTCACCAGTTTCTGACTTTTTGATCATTACAATGCCTCTCTGGCCTATTTCTACGGCTACTTACACTAATGCTGCTGGTTAAAACAGTCACCTCAGTGGATCTTATATTGTCATCAAAAATGTTAAGTGTGAAGGTGGCAAAGAAGCTTTTACATCTCAAAACGTCTCATAAAAACTTCACTTCTACTCCCAGCGGCTACTTGGAGAGTGCTGTCTCAGTGCAAGGGCTTCTGGGCTGGAGGCATACGGTAATTTGAAAATACATGTTGAAATTAACACCCGGAAGCAATAAACAAAATGGGATTATAGATAACATTGTGAAATCTGGGTCCTGAATTTAGTTTCTTCTCAAGCTTTTTTTTTTTCTGTGCATGATTTTAAGAGAATCGAAGGGTAAAGTATTTTTGGTTGAAAAACTGATTGCTGCTGAATATCACATCGGTACAGAAATCACCACTGACAAGCAAACAGCTTGTGTAGTTACTTTACATATCTGTGCATTTATGTTTTTCCATTTGGATGTATGTAATGATAAAATACAAATGTTCCAGTTCTGGGAGTAGATGTTACATTGACCTGTTGACCTGTGGAATTACTGGTTAACATTAGATCATAAACACAGCATTTAAATCAACAGGACCCATGTCCCATGTATGGGACAGGGATGTTGCGTAGATTACGGGTAGTCATGGTTAAGAGTAAACGACATGATTAGAAAAAGATGATAGGTCTAGGTTTACAGCTTCACACTATAGTTGCTTTTTTTGCATTACCAGATTAATTAACTAACTTAAAAAACTTTCAACTTAGTCATCTTTACCATTTTTATTCTTCTGAATGCAAACCTCGGGTTTATGGAGGATGCGTCAGTGCATTCAAACTGCAATAATAAGTTTGAGGTTTATCATTATCATGCCTCTGTTTTTATGATTTGCATTCCTATACCTTCTGAGGGGGCCTTGATTTACTACTAGTATTTCATTACAATACTTTCACAAAATCTGTGTTCATTACCTGATTGGGGAAAGAAATAATCAAAACAACCTTCTCTAGACTGTCTTTTATTCAAGCTCTGTATCTGAGGCCTCAAACGTTTTTTTCACACCTATAATTGAGACGGGGTTTTGACATGCCATCTCCAAATGTGTATCTGAGAATTTCTTGTACTTTCTTTTTTTTTTTTGAAATTTTGAATAAATAAATGAATGAGAAATTTTACTGTTTGTTCCATTTAATTCCCTCCCAGGCCACGGTTGCCAATCCACATCATTCAGTGATAAGTCTGTGTTGTGTGAAATGTCTTCATTCGGAGATCTACCTCGCTGTGACCGCTGGCTTGAGGAAGTCTCGCTGTCATCCTCTCTTCATGCTGATTCTAAAGGGTCCTCCAGCTGGTTCAGCATAGTGTGAATGAGGCTCTGCAGCAGAGGTACCAGTCTGTCAGCTGAGGTCAGGCTGCCAGATGAGGGCACATGGATGAGGGCTGCTCTCCTCTGACTGTGATACAGTGAGCAGTAATAAGCAAAATCACACAGGTACCTGAGAGGAGGGCGGAAAGCATTATCTCATATTGCTGAGTGTCTGACATAACTGTGCAGGAGCAGACGCCTACCTGCCAGCATCTCTGGAATAAACGGCATCCGTCCCTGCTTGTTGGAACCCTTTGGCGACAGCTCTCATGTTAACAACTGAGTCCAGTTTCTCTGGTCCTCCTTCCACACAGCAGTGACTGTCAGGACAGAAGCCGCATACATCTGTGTCTCTGTATCCACTGTTCTTCCCTGTTTGCTCCAAAAAGACGACATTAGAACCTCTGGCTACGCCCAGATGTACTGCAAACTGGGACCACACCAACACAGAGGGTAATGTGAGATATTCACCTGTAATTCTGCATTGCAACAGTTAGTATCCCCACCAGGGCTGTAGATACCATTCAGGATGCTGAGGTCATCACCCCTGTAGTTTTTCTGGGAATTTGGGGATTTTACCAACTTTGATTTATTTGAACAAAATCAATAATAGTTTTTTTTTAAATCCAAATAATTAATAGTTTCACATTTAATTAGTTGGTTTCTGCTCTGGATCAGAGCAACTATCACAGTATTTCTTTAAATCAAATGGGCTGGGTCTTGACATGAAGGCTATATTTTTACCTTTGGGTGAAGAGTTTGCCAAATATCAGCAATGATTTGCAGAGTCTTAACATAACTCACTGGCACCTCCTTGATGGAAACATCAGTCTGCTCTCCCAATCTGACCAACTGCAAGCCCTTGAATAAAGACATATTAGACATGTAACAATAATGGGTTGGCTAGTTATTTTGTTTTTACAAACATTACCTGGGCTGCTTTCCAGCTGGTGTTCAATAAGAACTGTCGAAAAGGTCCAAAGCCTAATACGGGAGTTAAATGAGCGCCGGTTTGAAGAGTTCGTGTATTTAAAACGTACTACTTTACCTGTAACCACCACGATTTATTTTCCATTCATCACGACACAGTCAGTAAGGAAAGATAGTTGTTACGCACTTCATATCAGCAGACTGAAAAACAACCCGGCTTATTTTAGCTCCCGCAGCTCTGTTTTTGTCCGCTTAGTGGAGCTGTTCCCCGGCATTTAAAATATGAGAAGTCCATGTGAAGGTGATGTATTCAGGTGGATTCTGACATCCAATAAACAGGTCTAAAACAAGTTAATTTAATAAACCTGCTAATAAGACTGAACCGACGTTTCTTTTTCAAGTCATTTAAAAAAAGTGCATTTACTCATATTTACTTGATACGTTTTATGATTAATTATTAGGCTACACTTACTAAAACACCCTTGATGTGTTCTTTTATTTGCATTCTTTTTTCATTCGCTACACTGTAGCAAAATGCAGAGACAAAACATGAATATATTAGGCTAAAATACGTATAAAACATCTTTATATTAAACGTCAGTAAAGAGAAACTATAGCCTCCAAAAAAAATCGTTTAGACCCGTGTCCTTTTTCCGTTTCCCCATCTCTTCATTTTATTTTACTACGTGACATATTTTTAGCATCAAGCTTACTTTTTTATTTTTGTTTAGTTCCAATCGCACAGTTGTATTCACCACATCCTTTGTTTTAGTCTGTTGTTTTGAGATGAGAGGGTTAATATTTCAGACAGCCCTTAAACGCAACATAACATCTGCCAGGGACACGGACGCGCTTGGGGCGATCCTGTGAGGCAGGACCCGCCCAGGCGCCCTCCTCCTCCTCGCCCCTGCTGCACTTGTCAAAGGGCACTGATCGCAAATTGCATCACAGTCGTCCCCACATACGCACACGCAAATGACACCGGGACAACCTGTCTGCTAGAGTATTAGGCTTTTTTTAAACTCTCTTTTTCTAATTAGATGCCACAATGTTGCCTTTCAAAAGAACTTTTGAGAGCGACAAACAGCAGCTGCAGGTGCTCAACAGCAGACTCGTCCAGTATCTTTCCAGAACGAAGCAGCTGGAGCAGGAAAATGCACATCTTATTACTGAAATAAATAAACTTAGACAGGGGAAGACGGCGGAATGGGAGCCGAAGTACAAAGGCGAGATGCGGGAGCTGAGGAGAATGGTGGGTCTGCTGTCGTTTGAGAAGTCCCAGGCCGAGATGGAGAGGGAGAAGCTATGGCGGGAGTTGCAGATGGTCCAGTCTCTGTGCAGCGAGCAGACCGGGGTGTGCAGGGACATCAGTGGCGAGCTGAAAGGCTACGAGAAGGAGCTTCAGCACGCTCACAAGGCCAACGGTGAACTCCAGCAGCGTTTATTTCAACTGGAGAACGAGTATAAAAGCATGGAGGATGTGCACAGACAAGACAAGGATCGTCTGCGGCGTCAGGTGGAGTCCCGGGTGGTACCCATCATTACGCAAACTTATCGCGGGCCTCCGGTGGCCTCCATGGAGGAGGTGCAGGAGTATGCCCGCGGTCTGTCCGATGGGTGGATTGAGACCTATGAAATGTACCAGCTGAAGGTGGAAGATATGGAGCAGTCGATTAAAAGCGACCAGGCGAGGCTGAGTGATCTGCAGAGGGAGAAGACGCTGTCTGCCTCGGAGTTGGGCAAATTACGCACAGAGGCGGAAAAACAAGGTCAGATTCAATCCCGTCTTGAAGAACAACTGATGCACATGCAGGAGAAATTCCGGGTGGACTTCAGTGAATATCAGGTGAGGAAAAGTCCAATATAAGCTAACAAGAGTAGGACAGCTCAGATTTACATTTCAGAGGGACTGAAGTGAAGCCAGAGTTTAGGAGATGTATTTGTATTTTAAGAAGTCCCAACATGCATATAATAAATATGATACAATTTTCAAAATATACAGGCAGAATAATCTTCCCTTTATCACACTGAGCCATGAAGGAGGGGGAGGCTGCTCCCTCTTGTCCCTGCCACACCCATTTTGCTTAAAGGCACTTATGCAGCTGCAGCTCTTGGAGGCTGATTGTTAAGGAGAAACAATAGTCCTTCACAATCTAGGCTGACATTTCCCTCCGTAAAGACTGTGACTCTGGCTTCAGCCCTTTCTAAAATTACACACATGCAGTAGATGTTGGTTCTGAAATGAATGCAACTCTCAATACATAATGACATTACCAACATGAGGTGGTGCCCGACAAGTTTGCGTGCCACATTTGACCTCAGTATAAAAGGATTGAGTAGCTTGATCAGCTATAACGACGCTCTACCTCCCCAGTACTGTAGCTGTTAGATTACACCAGCCACTTAAACCAATTAGCGGTCAGACTGACAAATCCTTATTAGCCTCCTAAAGATGGAGCCCTTAGCAGGTCAGTCAACTACAAATGAATGTTGGAACAACAAACACATTTCACACAGTTACAGTAAACCCCTGTGGTAAAATATAAGTGAGAATGACATCCGTCTAAGTATATCACATGTTATTGAAAAAGGCTCACGCACGAATTTACAGACGCAGTCACTGGATTAAGTCATTAAGTGGTCCAAATGATAAGCGCAGTCTGTTAGTGGGATCAGACTTAATTTTGACTGGAAGTGTTCAGCCAGTTTCTGCATTAGTAGTAAACACAAATACTATTCGGGGACTCAAAACAGAGAAAACACAGATTTACAAAGTGAACAAAACTGTAGGCTGCAGTACAATAACATGTGGTCACACACTTGGGTTGTTAACAAGGCATCGGAGTTATTACAGTATTTTCAGTTAAATAGCAGGGGGAAAAAATATATACATACCCAATGGACAGACCACAAGCTTGTGCTGTGTCTATGTGAAACTAACTGTGTGCAGAGTAAAAACGTATTGTTTTTCTTTTTCTTTCGTCCCTCCAGATGATTATCGAGCAGCTGGAGCACGAGAGGAATATGATGGCTGACGCTATTGCAGAAAAGATGCGAGAACATCAGCACCTTCTCCAGGTGAAGATGGATCTGGGCATGGAGGTGGCTTCCTACAGGTGATGAGCTTATTTAGTTTGTCCGTTGTCCAATCAAAACACATTCTTTTAAAACACTCAGAGAAAATGCCACGGGAGCGTGATGACATAGTATAAAGACGGAAAGAAACCACACAGGGTGGAAGGAAGTGGAGGTGGATGGGTCAAACAAACCAGGAGACTGGTGTTTGAGACTGGTATTTAGAAGTGATTTTTGTGATGTTTTCTATATTTATGTTACCTTTTTATTAAGTTTCCCTAGTTAATTTCAGCACAACCATGATATTTTCCTTAGCCTAACTCAGCGGTTTTGTTGCTTAAACCTAGGTAAGTGTCGCTATGTTACGAGTTGTAATGAAAACGTGTTCGAAAGTACAGCCAGTACACTCTGGCTTTCAGTAAAAAGCTTTTCATGAATGAAAAAAGTTAGCTTAAATAGGTACATCCTCGTTTTTCAGTGATATTTTAATGCTTTGAGAAGAGATTACTGGACAAACCTGCCTCCCCCCACTGCCTAAAGCTACTCTTAGCTTAATTAGTGATTTCAGTAAACACAGAAGCAATCTGCTGCTTCCTTCCTGTTGGTTTGGCACCAAGTCATCTGAACTTCACTTGGATAAACTCAAAGTATCAGCTCACATATACTATCTTATGATCGCTACATGTACTACACATGCATTTTTAACAAAGTTTAAACTTTTGCTGTGGTTTATTTTAAGTGTTTATAGTGGGTTAAGTATATCTGCCATCTCATATCCTGTAATAACACGGCATGTCTTCATGCTCCTAACATAGCCAGATCACACAGGGTCACATACTAACAGACTATTTTTACTGAAAGGTATTGATAAAGCAGTTAATAAACATTCTGTATTTTCATGTTTGAAGGTACACTCCAGTTTTTTTAAGGAGTCCTTTTAACATAACTTCTTACCTCATATCACATAATTTTACTTTTAAACAGTTGAAGTTTTTCATCGATCATTTTTTTTAATTTGTATTAAGCCAATTCCGAGGAAGTTCTTGAGAAGACCATTTGTCTCTATGTGGTAGATTCTCCGCTGGCACATCTGGTGTGTTTTGAATTTTTGGAATAGACCGAATATTTTTGCAGAGACATGGCAGCGGCATGTGTTTTTGTGTGTGTCACAAGTCAGCTTTTGCTTTGGGATTCGTAGGGAAGTGTGGACAGCCCTGTGTTGAAACAGTTATTTTTAGGTCAGTCTTTGGGAAGGCAGTCTCCGGAGAGGTTGTTCCTTTTTGAGGCACGCTGTTTTTCTGTTTTGTGTTTGTTGAAGCATGGCCAAGGAAAGGTGAGCCGCTAAAGCTAATTCTTTATTAGCCTACATGACAGAGGCTTTTTATGTTAAGTTTTAATTGATTACTACCTTATATGGCCTGGTGATGGGTTCATACCGTCTTGTAAGCCTGTTGCGTTTAGTTTGAAGGGGTTGACATGGCAGAGCTGAATGATGTACACCGTCTACTGAGGTATTTGTCTTTGATCTTTTCTTTTCTATATATGGTAAAAAAGTAATTGTTGAAATAGGAAAATAACCAGTGATTTTATAATAGTCTTCAAATATATTTTGTCTTGTCTCTTGTTTGTTCAGGGCTCTCCTGGAAGGTGAGAGAGTGGATCTGCAAGATGCTCATAGGAGGGTGACCCAACATCAAAGAGAAGGAATAATAGGTACTGTATTTTAAATCATTCATTGTTGTACCATGAAGTGTAAATTGTAAAACTAGTTTTACAGTTTGATATTTAGCAGATAGTCAGATGAGAAGATCGATACGATGTTTCCATCTCTTGCCAAGAAAGCTAATAAGCTCATTTCCCAAAATGTCGAACTATTCATTTAAGTATCTACCTAATTATTAATTATCTGTCTCAGATATAAGGATGCCTGCCAAGCCCTACACTCCAAGAGCTTCCACCTTAACCACCAGACAACATATGGATATCAGGTACACGCCGCCGGCTTCACACCTGAGAAGATCCCCTGTGCCTCCCTCTGGGTCCATAAGTCCCTCTAGGATCATTCCTATTTCAGTCGCAGCCAGAGATCGGCATCAGAGTCCTGCATCCAGAAGGGACATGATCTCATTCACCAAAGCTCGGGCTGCCACCTCTGACCCTGCTGCCACCACTGCCAAAGATAAACAAACAGGCCAGAGTGAATACCAAACCAGACAACATGTTCAGAAAACAGCAGCAGAGGAGAAAACTGTGAAAATCAAACAGGCCTCTCGGGTAGAGAACCAAGTCAGTCCCATCAAGTCATCCGCTACTGAGACCAGATCAGTGAAAGTGGTGTCACCACCAATGATGAGACTGAGCAGGAAAACTGAGACAGAGAGCAAAAGGCAAGTGTCAGATGAACAAGAGAAAGATAATGTTTACGTTGGGGAGTTCAAAGATGAACGAAAAACAGAGCCTACGATGGGCACAAGTGAGAAAAAGATATTCGATTCTGTGTCTCTAGAGGAGATCTTCCAGAAAGCGATGAGACCAGCAGGTTCGGAAGCTATGGTTTGCTCCTCGGGGGATTCAAAGGTAAGGTATCATGTGGAGAAAACTGAGGAAGAGGATGGAACGACTAAGACGCAGATCGTGTTGGAGTCCAAAATGGAGGAAGAGCTGGATTTTGAGGACCCTGCACTGGAAGAACTACTGAGCCATGGGGTTAAGAAGATGTCACTGGAAGACATCAAGTACACAGCAACAGGAAGCATGATCAAGAACCTGCTAAGTGACCTCCAGGTAAGCGAGAACCTGGAAAATAAGTCTGTCAATGTGGAAATCATCGAGGAACCGATGGAGTCTTACATTGATGAAGAGTTTGAGCTTGAGCGGAAATCCAGATCTGTTTTTTACGAGCCGTCCTCAACACATTACCAAATCGAGGAGCTAGAAAATATCCCTCATGGTGCTCAAGTTCAGAGGAGTGATGGTGATGCCATGAAAACCTCCATGACAGATACAGACCATCGCAAGGGTGGATCTGTACAAGTCCAAGAGGTTTCTAGAGAGAGTGAATCTTCATATGTCTCCCATGACCAAGGGCCTGACGAGTATTTCGTCTCCACACCAGATGATCATCTTTCTGAAACCGAGGAGGGTGGTGGCATCACCTCATATGGCCATTATGGTATCGTCGATGACCTGTCAGATGAGCGGTATTATCAAGATGAAGGTCTTCTCTCGAAAGGGGTGATTGTAGAGGAAAGTGAAGAGTACAAGTCAGGTGATCACTCGTTCGTCAAGGAGAGTTTCCCAGAGTGCATCATTGAAGAGGAGGTTTGCGTCTCCCCTGTAGTGCAGGAGTCGATGCTCGAGTTCCTGAGAGAGGACTCTTTGGAGCCCAAAGAGCAACTGAAGGGAGCTTTAGAGAAGCTACAAGGCTCAGTGTCGGGTCCACTGAGGGAGGAGTTGGCCTTCCTCACAAAAGTGAATAGTGATGGTTCACAGGCTTTCAATGTCACAAAAGTGCAGCAGTCGAGTGACAGCGGCACCATGACTATAGTTGCAGAGCTGAACACGTCTCAAAGTCTGGAAGACTCAGGGCTGCTGGAGGCAGGAGATGATCTATCTGAAGAGCAGATCATGGCAGCGCTCAGATCCTCTGAGAAAGCCTTCCAGGGCGGGGCAGGAGGAGGATACAGCTTCAGAGTCTCCAAAGAAGAGGATGTTGTGCAAGGTGAAGAGTTTGAAGGCTTCACCAAAGAAGAAGGGTCTGCATCTGAAATCACTGAGAGGCAGATACAACTGGGGCCATCAGAGAAGTGCTTCACCTTTCAGATGGACGTACATGGCAGCCATGCTGAGCCCCCACAGCTAGAGCTGCAGCCTCACACCTTGGAAACCCCAGTTAAGATTTCTCAAGAGAAAAGAATTGCAACGGTTTACCTTGACAGTCCAACAGCTGATTAAAAAATAATTCGGTCCGAAATATTTTCACGGCCAAGTGCTTGCCAAGGTTACTTGTTAAAGTTTCACATTACAGAAGTTGTTCTGACGCAGCAGTCCACACACACACACACACACACACACGGTTTTCAGACACTACTAATGCTGTCAGCAGTAAAACATTGTATATCTAATTGATTTTGGTGCACTCTTTTGCTGAACCTACTTAAAGTGTGTCACCTAAAACTTGGCGTACCTAACATGAGGCAAGCTAAATTGAGTTATTCAGTTAAAATAACCAGATTAACACTTTGTTGTGGTATTAATTGTGGCAGGACTGCTATTAGAACAGAGTGCAAACTAAAAATGGGATATTTTATGTTAGGATTGCGCTGGAATGTGTGTAACCTTTTTACAGCTTGCAGTTTATCTTAAAAGAGGTTTGTTTATTCTCTCTAGATTTCTCTATTTTTAATCATCACATCACGTGTTACAAGCCAACATATGACAGTTGGAGTCATGATGTGCTGTGCACCGTTCAAGATCGGGGCTTTCATTTTTCTTTTGACTTGGGCACTGCTGCCAAATATACATAGCTTTAGCATTTACTGTGTCCTGTAGCAGCAGCAGAATATAGTGAAGCTTGTAGCTGAGGACAGTATAGTCAGGATGGGGAAAAAAAGATGGTAATTTGTCTTAAGAAAGTTTTAAATACTGAAATCAAAGTGTAGTGCAGTAAATGTGGCACTTAAAGTGGTTTTTAAATAACCGGGTTATCAATGTAATCGATGTGAAACGTGTTTGTAAAATATGTATCTGTAAATGGTATGTGTCAATACCACACATTTCTAATTTCTTCCGACGAGTAAAATTTCGATTTTGAACATAATTGAAAATGGTGAATTATACCATTTAGAACATCAAACAAGGCTTTTCAATTACAAAACCAATAGTGAGATGAAAGAGTGAACAGCAGTAGTGGAATCTTAAGGAACTGAAAGGATTCAGTGAAATATAAGTCACACCTGGTTTTGATGTACAGTATGTCTTGTCTAGATGCCCTGTTGCTGTTATCACATTGTTGGCTGGAAGCATTCACCTTTACTGGAACATGGTGTCCATGACCGTGACTATTTTTGGATCATCAGCTTAGTGGCGTTGACTGTCCATTAGGGTTTGTTGTGTTGTGCACTAGTTGCAGAGGCAGAAATGGTCCACTATGCTTACAGGGTGGTTACATGTCTTGCACATTTAGTCTAAGTGGTTGCAACATGTACAATGTGTAACCATCGAGTAATGTATTTACTTGGCACTTTCACGTTAAAGAAATGTAATGTTGAACATTCATGTCATGCTTTTATAAATGTGTTAACTGTTAGAAATCTACTAAGTTAAACCTAAAATAAAGTGCCCAGATACAGCATATTTCCATACGTTCTCATCTGCAAACTGCAGTAATTTAAACAAAAACCCTATTACATCAATGCACTTCAATTGTGGCTTAATAACAAATCTTACTTTACTGGATATGTATGTACAGAGTGTAATCTAGATAATGTGCAACATCCAGAAAGTATAAAGATTTTGTAATGAGTCAAAGGTTCAATAAATATTGGTCACCATGGATAGGCCAACATCATTGCTTTTATTAACATGTTTTTTGTTGAACACATGGTATGATGCTTTTGTGAAAAACAAATCCAGCCCTTCTTTGGAAATTGATTAATATCTTAAAATGACAATTAAAACACATTGTTGGTAAGTTTTCTGAGTACGAGTATTTCTTTAAAGCTGACTTATGTTACTTGATGTACAAAATGACACAAGATCATGTACAAATGCCAGTGGACATAATTAGTGCAAATGAAGATGATTTTCAGCAGTGCATCATCTAACAGACTGTTGCTGGCATTCAAAAATGAATGCCAGCAATTATTGGTCAAAACTTGCAAGATTATTGTACTGGCAAAATAAAAAAAAGAACATTTCAAGAGTCCGACATTGAGTTTCCATCATTGCCACTGCAGGGTTCAGCTGAAAGTGTGTGACGTTTTGTTTTCCTTCTCCCTTGCCTGTGTTGTCTCTCAGCCACCTCTGGTGCCCTACAAAACATACATTACATGGTCGCATTACTGAAACATGTACTCGTTTGTTATTTTTCAAATCATTCTATTACTGTGAAATACAACTAGTTGATTGAGAATTCATCACCAGGAGAATAAAATGTCTTAATATAATATAAAGTACAGTTTCATTATAGTTCAGCAGAATTACCGCGCCAGCATGTCCACCGCTTTCTGTGTAGCTTTCGTCTTCTTGTGCTGAGGACCGTACAACAAACTCTGGATCTCCAGGCACTAAAATAGAAAATAATATTAAAAATAAAACATAATGACAGCAGAGTGAGTGGTCAGTGGAAGACGAGAGGTGCAACTCATACTCAGAGGGGAATAAACACTTCCGAGCAACATGTGAAGGCACTAAACATCCCAAAATAACCTCTGTTGCAGCCCAAGGTTTAGAGAACACCTGTGCTGACCACTCGGGAGTGTCAGGTCAACAAGAGAGACCCGACACACTAGATTTATTACGAGGACTCCAAATCAACAGCCCAGAAATCAGAGGTAGTTAAAAAATGTAAGATGCAGCCTGAGCCATTTCCCCCCCTACAGTTAGTTTGGTCCTATCAAATGAGAGGAATGAGCAAATGGCTTCGCTCTATGACATGAGAAAATATTGCCTAATTTTAACATAATCCAGACAACTTTTATCCATAAACACATGTATTTGGTAACACAGTGTAAGCATACAGTTGCGCAACAGGCATGATAAAAGGCTGCCAATTCTGCAATCGTCATAAATAACAAGATGTGAAGAGAACTTTGTTAAAAGTAGGGAAAGAGTGAGCCAAACGTTTCCTCCTTGCAAGGGAAAGTAAAACACACTGTAATCTGGAACAGATCCATTTGGCCTCCTGGATGTTTTCACTGTTGCTAAGGTTGATGTAATGGAAGGCCTTTTTCTCAGCAGCACTACAGTGGAAGGGGGAAATGTCAAGTGTATGGCTGTGTGTGTGCGCCATTGTTCTCCATGTTTTTTTAGTATATCTGAAGTTCTGTATCTTTTGTATGAGTCAGGTTTCCTTTGGAAAAACAAAAGTTATTCAGTAATTGTGCAGATGGTGTCAGGATGACAGGAAAAAGATGTCCTGACAGGCTCAGTGTCAGGGTACTTCAGAAAGGTTACTAGTTGGACATGGTGTGGAGAGAGTGAGCCCTGATGCACTCTGTCAGTGGTACCCTCAACGCTCTTAAATGTCATAACAAAACAACATAGCAACCGGGCTCCTTTACTTACAGGCATGTTTTTACTTGTATGAAGAAACCCCCATTTACTGGTGTATTTTAGTATGTGTGATGGGCTGCAGAACTGAGCTCATACGGGCAAACATGTGCAGTCATACTGTATGTGAACAAAAACACATTCCATAAGGAATAAAGTAAAACAGTAGCAGAAGAGGAACATGGTCAAATTAACTAAAAGGCTGCTTCTCAATCAATGCATGTGTGCTGAAAGACTAAGAACGTCACTTTTGTTTCAAAGGACATAATGGCATGCATCACTAATTGGGGTCAGTGTCCCTTTAATTGACAGTAGTTAGCAAATTGTTGTTGTCCATCTGTCGGGCTCCATCCAGACTGAGGAAACACAAAGTCACCGTGTGTGATATTTTACACTCTGCACCCTTCCAAGATTAGCATGCGACTCTGATCTTTAGGGACGCGGGTTGAAATAGCTCACCTCAATCTGAAAGGGACTCTTTGTGTGTTTATTTTGAACTGGCCTCTCACTGGTGTAGATGGACACACCCGCTGACTCCTGCCCTTTTAATAAACCCTCCCAAATGCAGCACATTGACAGGGACAATGTCATCTCCATCATTTCTAATATGCATTTACAAGTTGTAGCCAAGACGAACATTAGTTGTGCTGTTTGTGTTCTGTAACTTGTGATACCTTTCTCATGGTCCTGTGGGCCGGCGTCAGTCTGCCCTCACTCATCTCCATGCTTCCTAGAAGCTGAAGGGTGTCTGCTACCTCAGCACTCAGGTCACCAAAGGTAGATCTCTTTGTAGCGAGAGAAGCTTTCTGGATCTCCACACATCTCTGAAACGTTATATTGAAAATAGATAAGTCATCTCTCTCCATCAGTGGTGGGAGCCACATCTCGTTAATCAGGTGAAATAAAATGCCCTGACAATCACAAACTCTGAGGGTGTTTCCATGGTGCAGCTCTCTAAACAAAAAGTCTGAAAATCTGCTTTGGGTTTCAAAATTACATGAGCAAAAATATGAGACTCTTTGCCTGGAGGAAATGACTGTAGTGGCATTGTCTGTAAGTGTGTGTGTGTGTGTGTGTGTGTTTGTAACCTCTTGTTGGCCACTGAGGAGGAGGAAACGGCAGAAATCATCCTGGGCCACGAGAAAGGCTGGATCCTGTGAACCTGCAGAGTTTTTATATGCACTGAGACTCTCCTCAAAGTAGCAACCTGCAGATTCTACACCAGCATGGGAAAAACACACAAAATATGCAGGTTAACGTGTATAATATAAACGGCAATATGATTTTGAGATTTAGTTCCTTTCCAGATGTGATGTTTTACAAAGCCACCATGAAGCATACATTTGTATTGAGACAGTTGACATGGGTGAATCATACTGACATGACTGAACCTCAACATGTCTTCAATGAGACTAGTCTGGTTTCCATAACGCCATCTTATAGAATTTCACATATAGAAAAATCCTAATTAACCCTTTGATGCATCTCGCACAGGCCTAGTCTGTGCCTGAGAATAAACTCACCATTGTGATGTGGCTCTGCAGCAGCAGAAAGGACGAGGGCCAGGCTGTGGGAGATCTGAGCCCCCTCTAGCTCCTCTGGGCTGTGACTCATAGCAATGGCATGGGCCTAGCAGAAACACCCACGTGAAATAAGGCAGATCACATATCACCAAATAAGAGCTGTGGGAACGTTACCTAACAACAAAGCCTGGCACCATCTCAAGAAGCCCTCATGTGTATACAGCGTGTTGTGCTGTGTGAGTGACGTGCCCCTTGCCTTGGTGAGATGCTCTATGGCTCGGTCCAAATGACCTTTGTCCTGTTCGATGGCGGCCATGTCCCGATAGAGCGAGCACGTCTTCTCTGGCTCGCCACAGTCCTTCAGCCGCTGCAGGGACTTCTCACACTGGTTTAAGGCCTCCTCTGGTCTGTTCTGTCTCCTATAGATCCTATAGAGCAGAAAGGACATATCATTGGAGAGAGTGTCAGAGACGGAAAGACAAGAATAAAGTCCAGGTCAGCCCACTATAGGAGGCAGCAGTAACAGTAATGGTTACAAAGTGTACCCTTCAAGTAGATTGTCTGCATCCCTGTGTTGAAAAACATTTGCTCTGCCAAAGTGTACTTGATTAATACTCTATAACCATTCAAGATGTTATAATTAAAAAATGATATCTAATAACATTCTGTATTTAGAGCATCACTTGAGTACAGTATATACCCATAAGCCTGTTACTTCATTACCATGAGCCTGTTCTACATTACAGAAGTAACTGCTTGGTCTCTAGCCAAACCCAGATCCTGCAGAGTGGTGAAGGCTTTTGGCTAATGGCTGCAGTTGAGGCCTGCAGACTATATTAGGGAGCGCTTGCACATTGCCCTTTTTAAATGTTTTGGGTTGCATCCTTTCACTAGTCTCTTAACTGTCTCCTCTGGGACTGAAGGTTACACTGCAACGTCACATCAACTACAATAAAACTCAATTTGTCACCCATCTCTAGATGTGTTGTTGCTACCATGTGTCTTTGCTCTTTTAAAAGACGGTCACTTCCTTTCGTACTGCACTATTGGGTTGCTTGGGCCTACACGCACCCACCCTGTTGCTTACAGAGCAACAGGGTGGGTGCGTGGGGGAGAGAGGATGAGACGATGGCTGCAATAACCACAGCAAGGACTCTGGATCCCATCAGGCTTCTCTGCTAACAGCTTGAAACCATCTAATGGACTCTAAATTTAATTCAGCTCTCCAGTCAGAAAGTGGCCTTTCTCAGAGGACTCGCCACTCACTGCTATACAACCTCTGGCTGTACATTGTTGTCACAGGAAACCCCTTCTCACAGTCTCCCACATCCACACTGAGCAGAGTATGTGTTATCGGAACAACAATTCACTTACATACAGAATCCACACTGAGGTCAATCTGTAACGGCATGGCATTTGATTTAAGGTTTTATCCATTGTGCCTTCCAGTAACATGAGTACAGGTTTTAGCAGGGGCAGCCTGTGTGGGAAGCTAAAGTCTGGGCTTCACAGTTGTATGTCATGCTTACATCCCAGGACCACATGGATTTGGAAATTCATGGCTCCGCGGTTAAAGGCCAGCAGCACAGGTTACAAAAACACTTTTTCCCATGAAACCAAGATGATCCTAACATGCTGTGATGGATAGAAGGAGTGCCCCGCCCATAATTGTTCATCAGGCGGGCACTTCAGGTCCTTTTAGGGCAGCAGCGATGGCTGAAGCAGAGCTACATTCCAGCATGTCTCGAGTCCTGCCATTCTGCCTGCATGGACAAACAGAGACAATACCGCTCTATCCTCTCATTCACTCTGCATCCCTACGCACTTCCAGGCAGGACGGTAAATATGCCACATCCCACTGGAATATACCAAGAGTCCACAGGGCAGGGAATTAATATAATTAAGGATTTGTAGATGTGTTGCCAAATGCGAGCCACACAGCCCTCTTTTGTAAGCATTTCCAGAGTTCGGAAAATGACACAGTAGGCCAAGCCTATAAGTGAAAACAGAGGGACAGAAACATAACAGCCTTCTCCGGCAAATCTGCGTGGTGCTTTAAACTGATGGCATTCTGATCGATGAGGCTTTTTATTGAGTGCCTCAGGAAGATGTCGGTAAAACACTATGGAGAAAAACACTGAACTACCTGATCAGTCTTGGGTAGTGATCTCATGGCCATTTACAACTAAATCCCTGCCACAGTATTATGCTGTGTGTTTATACTGTGACTGTGGATCAAGTCAACAACATACGTATACACAAGGAAAGGGGGACAGGGCATCTGATTACAACAACAGCACAAAGTTGGTGAACACAGAGTGCAATTCAATCGATATGTTGAACATGATAATTAAGGGTGGAGAGGATATGGAAGATTTTCAATTAATTTATCATTCTGAAATAATTAATCATTCTAAAAATGTTTCGTTAAATAAAATCTGTTGACTAAGATGTAGATTTACGGCAGCTGTTATAAAGAAGTAAAGAAAATAAATGATCTTAGCAGCCATGGCCAAGTCTGAGAATATGAGAACACACAGATTTAAACCTAACAATAAATATCCCATCTGGCTGATCAGCAGTGCACACCTTGAGTGTGAATCTAGAGCCGAGCAGAATGTTTGGACCGGGATCTAATGGAGAGCTGAGCGTACTTTATTGTTGCGGGCTTTGGTGGGAACATTACCCTCCATCACAACAGTGTTCACTGACAGAGCTTTAGAAGCACGCCAAATCCGTAGTCATCGCATAACAAAAGAGATTTAGCAAGCTTACACACCAGCCAGAGTCTGCACATTTTTTCAATTACACACATCATGTCAACAAACTCTGACTCTCTGAAACAGACCAAGATGGCATCATTTACAAATTCCTATCGGTGTAGCTAACCTCAGCCACTGACAAGGCTCGCTATTATTGTTTCAATTTACCTAGCAACAGGATTTTCAAAACAATGGGTCATACATAAGCTCGGCTGTAAGATGGGGTCCCCTGTTAATATACTGCCACCCTACTACTGTCTTTGCTTGCATACTCCTTTATACGACTGTAAATGTTTTTTCGAACTAAAACTAAGATATTCAATTTAAACTTTGTGAGGTTGTCAAATGCTTTGAGGGAGACCGGCCTGTATTTTTTGTTGTTGTTTTTGCTTTTAGACATTAGCGGGCTGATCTCAACCCAGGTAAGACTATACTTTATTTACCGGTTATGCTGCTAACTTCACCCACAGTAATCTAAACTATGACAAGTAGCTGCTATTTTTATGTTGCCGGGCCACACAGTTCCTTTAACAGACTCTCCTAGGTGTGATGTCTGTGCTTGGTGTCTCCACCATGATCCACTTAGTCTTTAATCTTTTCCTGAGCATGTAAATACTGCACTTGGGACCACTGTTGTCAATACCACCACCAGGTTACAAATGCATATTGTAAAATGGTAGACACAGATCAATAATGAGAGGAAAAATACCTCTCTTCCATCTGTGCCGAATGAAACCCAGCAGGTCTGTAAGCATCATTACAACACACCCACGCTGACTGCTGACTGGACAACAACAGGGGAAAATCCAGATTTTTTTTAAGTCGTTGTAAGAGAAGATAGGATACTGGTATTTTTAATAGCATAACCAAGTTGTGAAAGGTTGATTTCATGCCAATTGACGTGAATATGTCACCATCTTGTGGCCAAACTTAAATGTAAGGCACTGCATTTGAAATTAAAAGGGTTTGAGAAAAACAAATCCGTTAACAACTTCAAAACAAACGTAATGCCCTCCATGCTGTACTCTGGAAAGACCTGCCTTGTTAACTTTTAATTGGCAAAAGCACCAAGGTTGGCTCAGGTATTACATACTATAGGCTACAAATGCTGCATTAAAGCCTTATTTTGACAACAGATCTGCTGTGTGCTGCTACTAAGACATTTCTAAAAAAATGTTTCCCCAACTGAACCTGGATAGACCAGCGGAGATTTCCAGCTCAGTCTTCATCTTCTCTTCCTGGTTGATGCCACTGAGTTGATGAAGCTCCTCAAGAACTTCTTCTGCTTCCAGAAAAGAGGATTCTGCCTCCTCAAGAGTAGAAAAGAGTCAAGGAACTTTTCAGCTTGGTTATTTGAGTAAATACTTCTATTAAAATCACATACATTACTGTAAAACATATCATGACAAGGATATTTGGCTGTAAGCAGTGAAGCGCCTCCCTGGGTGAGGTGTACGTTCAGGAGACACATAAGAACCTCGAGCTTTTCACCTCTGCAGGAGGAGATGGAGGAGCAGAAAGGCAGCAGCTCTCTGGCCAGAGCTGAGTGCTCCTGGGCCTGCAGTCTCCAGCCTCAGGGAACAAAGAACCATGATTGTGTGTAAATTAAACCGCATCTTAACAGTAACAATCCTTTCATTTTAGCTGGGCCATACTGAAGCAAAGAGCAAAGTAAAACTACATGTACAATTACAAATAGAAGCTTAATCTCTATAACACATACTACAGCTACATGGATTTATCATACTAGGCTGAAGTGTGTGTCAGTTTTTAATAAAATTGTCTTAAACTTTTTAGTTTAGTAACAACAGGTTCCCGCATTTCATAATATGCAGTTTTACAATGTGCTCACAGTATTATCTTTTTAACATTACCTTTGAACTGGAGATATGCTTTAGCCAGTCTGGCATGGGCCTGGGCCAGTTTCAGATGTCCGTCTCCATATACCAGCCTACACAGAGCCGCACAACGCACCAGGTCCTGAATGCAGGCATCAAACTGAGCAGACACAGTAAATAACTTTCAGGATCACTTCTCTTGATTAACCCACTGTGCCATGTATCAAAACCCATATCAATAACACATCTGTGTTACACTTTAGAGCTTACATTAGCATTTAGAAACTAATGTCAATCATTCACCTGCCTGGGTGTCGACCTTAGTGAAAACTGTATGTTTGAAGACGGGTTAATTTGAGTGTTTACAGCTGAAACGATAAGTCAATTTATTGATTAGTCGACCAACGGAAAACGAATTGCCTATAAATGTGATTATCAATTGATTGTTTATCATGTAGAAATAGACAGCAATCACCGGTTCCAGCTTCTTGAGTTTTGAGGATTTACTTTTCTTATATCATTATGAACTGAATATATTTGGGTTTTGGCATGTTGGCCAGACAAAAAACAAGCTACCTGGAGAAATATTTTTTGTCTAATGGAAATTATGACATATATGACAATATTTTTTTTACTATTCACTGATATTTTATTGAAAAAAATCAATGAACTAGAAAACTTAAATGTTTTATGTTGATTCAATTTTTTTTTTATTAATTAACTATTTTTCAAAGTTGATTCAATTTTGTTTTTTAAGTTGATACAATTTAATTTTATCAATTTAAGTTGATTCAATTCAAATGTTTAAGTTGATTCAATTCAATTTCTTACATTTTCTAAGTTTTTTTATTTTTTATTTACATGTTTACATAGTTTATTTACAATTTGTTAAATTGATTCAAATTACATTTTTAAAGTTGATTCAATTACATTTTTTTTTTAATTTTCAGCAGTGCAGTTTAATGCTTTTAGCCTTCAACATTTTTCAGACAGGTAGTCTCCCATTTCTGTATTTTCAGCAATTGTTTTGCGATTCATTACAGCTTTCAGCATTCCAACACATTTTCTGCAGGAAATGCATTTTCTAGTTATTAATTGCATCCTTATTAGTGCATTCATCTTCATGAATATGCATCTGCACAAATACCTCCAAAATGAATTTGTGACTGTACCCACCTCTTGGTTGTCCTCACGGGTCTGAGCTCGGCAGTCAAAGTATTTGAGCTTTTCTTCAGGTGCCATCATAATAAATTCCCTCTGAGCATATCCTGTCTGAGGGGAACTCAACACTGAGTAACATGGAGGAGATGCATTCACGCCTCTGCTGGTGCTTCCCATGCTTTCAGGGGATCTACAAGTTCAATCAAACAAGGTAGGTCAGTGCATTTTTGAAAAGGTGGACGTATTTGAGGAAAACACTTTTTTTTTGTATCTGTGAAGCTCCTGAAAACCAACAAAGATAGATACAGATCGGGACCCAATTAATACAGTTATAATACTATTTTTGTCTTCATCTTCTGTTCAGTGGGTTAGTACCATCAACATCTACCTTCACTGGTCAGCGGATTAAACAGAATGTTAGAAAGAAGAAATCACTCACTCGGCCGTACACTCGGAGGAACTGGCTCGTGTTCTGGTCTTTGAGTGAACATCAGCCATTCTAACAATCTCTGACAATCAATGACTTTGTGTTCTCTCCGTTTTTGTTGTGGTTACTCCTCGCGTGCTACTCTATCTAGCGTACGCGGAGCGTAATTTACGTGCCCACAGTCAGCGACGCTTTCTGTCTGTTTTACCGAAAATACTACCGTACCTTAGCTTATGGTACGTGAAATGTGACTCGAAGTATTTCACCTACAGGAGCTAGTCTCTTCGACACTGTTGTGGACTGTGGTATCGTTGCGGAAGAGTTTCCATCTGCAGAAATGCCTTTCCATAAGGTAACGTACATTTACGCTGCGTAAAGAAGAAAGTGGGGTGCATTCAAGAGCCACGATGTTCTTAAAAAGTACAATTAACGCTTTAATTGACTTTGCAGCAGTGAAGCACAACAAATGGCATGATGAGGGCCTTATGGCAGGGCTTTACTGCCTGATGTTTAGGTCCTGTCTTTAAAGGGGCCACTGTGTAAAAATCTAGTTTCAAAAGCTTCATTTTAAGGTTTTGTTGGTATATGTTGCAAATTCCTTAATTAATGTGTGCTAATCGAGTTAATACACAATAAGCTACCTGGGCCAGGTAGTACTCCTGCATAGAAACAACAGTTCATAATACACAGAGGAGGGGGTTAATGGTGGGTTAACAGTGGCTTATCTTAATATGGCCCCAGGCCCCCAAGCTGGTTGACTTTCATTACTGAAACGTCATGAAATCTAAAGTATTTAAAACAAGGTAGAAACCTCATTAAGTCAGACTTTTTCCTGGTATTGTTCAAATTCATGTGAGGACACTTCCCGTTTTGAACATATGAATTGTAGTATTCTTATATGTCCACAAGATGTCAGTAGAGTAATACAAGAGTCCCAGTCCCAGATATACTGTAGTTTTTAATGTTGTGCTCAAGGGAGTTTATCATTTTGAGGGATTATAATATTGTTTTGCTCTTTTAAGAAGTGATGGCTGGGATGTTGGCCTCTCCTTAGGGCACACTTCAAAGTGTTTCAACTGGCAATATGAAAACCCCAGGGCCGCTGTTCTTTTTTTCTTCAGTGTTATCCAAACTGTGTCCTCTGTGCTCATCAGACCATTTAGTTTATGTTTTCTCAGACCTTCCTGTTGTCACCTACTCATGCCAGCCGTCTACAAAATAATAAAGCTTCAATGTAATTTTTCTTGTAAAAAATGTTATGATGCCAAATCCAAAGCATCATCACGAATAGAAGAAAAACATGCAACATTGTCGGAGAATCAAAACCATAGATGACTGTAACAATGACCGGTTGTACAGCGTTAGCTGCTAATAGCTCATTAGTTTTAATGGGTGGGTGCTAATTGGACTGAAGTTATTGAAGTGCACCCGGTTTAGAGGTGTCACTCAAAATGGTAAACAATGAACCTGGAAGCGTCAAGAAGAAGTTTTGTAACCTTTAGTAAAACGGCACATTTTCCTACAGTGCTTTCTAATTGGCTGTGGTTTCCTGAATCTACACCAAAAAAAAGTATTTTATCCAAATCCGCTTCAAATGAAACCGATTAAATCTTCTACATGGCAACATGCTTTCCCCTCTCTTTAATTACTTCTTATATAACAAGGAGTTTATGATTTATTTCAGTGCTGCACAATGTTCATTCATTTTATAATGTGCATATACAATTTAGTAATTAAGTATAGATCTGAACTATAGATGAGGATGAAGAAATAGAAAGCTTTTCAGGATTGAAAGAAAATATTGTCTAAAAAATACAGATAAGGAATACTTGTTCCACATCGTTCTGTACTTTCATAGACCTAAATGCTATATGTGCCAATTTAGCAAGAAGAGGAAATGTACATTTCCGTGTGAAAATATCCTTTCTTACATCAGCTCCCAAAATCCTTGCCAAATAAACAAGAAGTAACGTCTCTGTGGCTGCTTTGAGAAATTGGTCTCTGGAGAGAGCTTTCTAGGTTAATTTATTCTGTATCGGGCTGGGAGTATGTTTACTGTCACCACTTTTAAACTCGGGGCAGGGCACATTTTGTGTGCAAGACTGCCTAAGATAACTTCTTATGGCTCCTTGGGATGGCTGCTGCCGGTTGATTCTGGCAGGCCATGAGAAAACCAGTTTATTTGTTTGTTTGTCCCGTGAGTTTTTGGCTGGTCGTTCAGGGCTCTGTTTGGCCCCGGTCCCTGTTGAGCTTCTATTTCTGAAACCCAAGTGGCTCTTAATGAAGCTCGTAGGGTTGGCATGGGCCCTCAGCAAACGCAGGCCTGATCAGACCCTTCTTCTTCTGCCTTGGCAGCCACACTCCATTTGCTCCCTCTGGCTTCCTAATTTAGTAACGGTGGGTAAAAATATGTGCTAACGAACAAGGTCTGGTATGTCAGGCTGGCGTCCAGAGAAGAGGGAGAGAGGGGAGGGGGGTGAGGAGAGGAGGGGGGGTGTGTGTGTGTGTGTGTGTGAGTGTGTGTGTGTGTGTGTGTGTGTGCCTGCTGTTTTCACAGCAGGGACCCAGTGACAGGGGTAGAGTCACTCAGACCTCGCTGACATCTGTATGTTTGCGTGTATGTGTGAACGTTCAAGGGAGCGTGTGGGGGTGGATGATGAGAGGTGGAGGGTGAGCACTTAAAATTTCTCACCCTTGCCAAACCCTTCTAATCATTCTTCTGTTTTATTCCAATGACACTGTGAGGCTGCAAGGTATGGTGTACAGTGCAAATGGAGATTTTATTGAAATATGATGCATTTTTCATCTTAAGTTACTATCTAATGGTGTTTTACACACTGTCTGCAGTTTTCAGAGTCTGGCTAAAGGAGGCTAGCATCTGTAAGTGACATGCTTTTAAAGTTGCAATTTAGGCACCATTAGCGTATCATGTAACGTGATGTTTTTGGTTATTTTAAGCCCAACTGTTACCTTCTCTCAATGAAACATTAAAGTGGAAAAGCAGCAGCAGCAGCAGCAGTTGGTCACGCTAGCTGGTGTTGCACGCGCTGTTTTTAAATATCCTCTCTACAGACCTGCAGTCACATCTATTACTTTTGAAACAGTTTTCTAATAAGGCATACTTTATAAATACCATAATGCCATTTGTTCGAAGAACCTTTGCGTTGCAGGGTTTTTAAATCTTTGGACTTTTTAACAAGAGTGGGCAAACGCATACATGGTGACACATGAATAGTTTTTTGACTGTTTTTTCTTTTGGCTGGTGTGTATCCTCTGTTTAACTTGCGTACATTCTGTAGAAGAGCTTCAGAGAATCCAGACCATCAGATATTACTTAAAAACTATGACACCTAAAAGCCATGACACCTCAGTGAACATTTTGAGTTTTAATCATCTGATTTTGAGCGGATGTATTTATTGCTCACTGCAAATTATTTCTGTTCAGCCTCTGTACGTGCTTACTGGATCTGTAAGGAAACCCTTTTACATGAGAGCTACAGAGCTTCCTGATTCAACTCTATGTATACATAGGTTTAGCTGCAAACCATGCAGGCAGCGGAAGAAAAACATGTTTTTAATGTATGTTTACCCTATTCACCTCAGACTTTCAAAGTTCTCCATTTTCCATGGACCTGTTCCAACAAACATTAACGGTGAATAACTTTATTGAAGCATTTTCGGTGAAAGAAACAGGAGAAGTGGTTCCAGTAAACTTTTTTTGTGGTCATTCAATGGCTCTGAATAGTTTATTCTGAAAAAACGTTTTCTTTTTAAAACGACAGGCCTGATTTGAAATGACACCGAAGTGTTGGCTCTTAAAAAAACAATACAGTGTGATGGTAAAATGAGCTTTTAATTCTTTGTTTGGGAGCTTAGAGCGCCCACTGCCCGAGTCTGTGCTTGCAATTACTCCATTTTCATCCGTCAAGACACTCGACCATCGAAATCTGCCCTTGAGCACTTCATCACTTGCCCTTCCTGTTCACAGTTTAAGAGGCTCGTGGTAACCTTGTCAACTTCACTTGTAAAACCAAAGCTTAAGATGAAAAGAGAAAACCTCTTTGTCTGTTGGAAGGCAGCACCAGCAGAAGCTCTAAAGTTACAGGAAGGAAAACAGCTGCTCGATTTAATAGAAAATAATAACATGATACAACTAATTGCACAGAGAGTTTGGGGGGAATTCCCTCAAGCTGTGCCCTGAACTTTTGCCACATAACTGCGCGGTCACAGACGGGCTAGGTAACAAACCACACCGCCAGCTTGTGCAGGAACAGTGTGATCGACATGCAGCACGACTCCTACCGTGCATGATGATTGAATACTCATGCATCATTATGGGTTTGAAGGCACAAAATGTGTGTTTCATAATGTTGTAGTTTGATATGAGTCTCGATAAAATAATAGAAAATGTCATACATTTGCAAAACTCTTGTTGGAGCTATTGTATCAGTTTCTTAAAGACAGCATTTGTTGTTTGATTGTTCCCACGTAGTAATGGTCTAACAAGGCAATTGAGACCAGTTATCATTATGTCTTGACGAACAACTCCACCCAGCTAAGTGCTTTACCTCTTAACATGAAGAGCAAGAAAGCAATTTATGGATCCACTTCTCAGATAAACACACAAACTCTGCCCTGTTTGGAGTCGTTTGTGCTCGTCAGATATGTCACAGTTATTTGTTAGTACCACATAGTAGCACCTACCTTTTTTATACAGCTGTCCCCACTTCCTGTGTTAGTTAACCCACAGACACCCACCACTCTGGATTGAACATCAGCCCCTGTCATAACAAATAGTGTTTAGACTAGGAACTGACAGAGTAGACAGTATTTAATGTGATATGTTTTCTATAGTCTTTTAGATAATTGAAGAAAAAAAATGTAATTGCTCTTTATCCCAGCTATTATAGCAATTCTGGAGTTCATAAAGTACACCACTAACTGTATAACACTTTCAGATATTCCTGCTTTATCTTTGAGTTCAACACAGTGCATTTATTTTCAAATGAAATTCCAAATTTGGTGAAAACAGGCACATTTCTATAGCTGTAAAATTGTACGAGTGGTTTACCACTTTAACAAAGTTATCCGAGTCTGACTCACAGCTACTACGCCAATGTCTTCACAGCTGCTGCACTTCAGATAAAGCATGTTATTTGCACAAAGAATAAGAAATGTGTTTCAGTGCCGTAATCAAAGTATTTGTGCAAGTAATGCCGCTGTAAAGAAGAAGAAGAAGAAACAAAGCCAGGCACTTAAGCCAGGCACCCCTTCCTTTGAACTGACTGAAGCTGTCCACGGCAAAGACATGATAGTCACAG